ACAGAACGATTGCCATAGCGCCATGCTGAAATCCGCCCTGAACAAATAACAGTTTTATGATGACATGCAATTTAGTAGACTAGAGTCCAGTACATCAGATGCATCTGATGAAGTGGACTCTCATCCATTAAAGCTTGTGCCATAATAAAATTGTTAGTTTTTTAGGTGTCACCAGAATGTTTTTTTATTTTATTTTTTTGCAACAGACCAATATGCCTGCCTCTCCGGAAATTGGTTCAAGTTGCTGTTGTTGCCACCACCACCACCGATTAACTGGTTAACTGAATACTCAATTAAAAACTCAATACTCCATCATTTCAGCACACCCCCTGGGACTCCATCCAAAGAGGAATTGCTTTTCCAGTCCTGGAGGGATTCTACATGCTCATAGGGAGGCAGTCACCCACCCAACATAAACAGCTCCATCTATACCCGAGAGTTCCTGCTACGTAACTTATATCCTGTACAGCTTTCTGCACCACAATGCAAGAGAAACCCCAACTGGGAATACAATCACTTTTGCCTGTAGTTTTGGTCCTCTCCTTTGTCTCCATCCACTTCATGAGCACTCAACACTGGTAAGAGTGTTTCCCCCAGTATGAATCATCTCGAACCCTGTGATCAGCGGGTGAGGCCTTGTTGGTGGCACTGCCATTGGAGGCTGCCCTGGTTGGCTACGACTCACTTTTCAGCGGCCGTTCCCCATTTGTGGAATGCTCTCCCTAGTGGGGTGTGTATGTATCCCTCATTATTAACTTTCAGGAGGAATTTAAAAACATTACTGTTTATTCAGGCGTTTGATGGCTGAAAGACACTGTTCCTGGCAACCTTGAGGTCACTGGTTGAGATCAAGTTTTTAGCTCCTCTTAGAATGTTTTAAAACTTTTTAGATTATTATTTGGAGCTGCCCCCTCCCCACTTTAATGGGCATGGCAATTCAAATAGTGCATGCACGCTCTATCTTGTGATTGACTACGCGTGTGGGGCTTACCTGAGTCCCCCCCCCCAATATTTTATTCAAATTGGCACCCCTGGTAGCCAACAATCAAGCTTTTCAAGTCACAATTATACTGGCCAGGTCTCAGCAATGGCAACGGCAAAGAGCAAGGCTGTGATACACTGTAATGGCGTATTTCTTAATCTAAGTTAATTACAATAGTAGATCTTTGCTTTCTGTCCTAGTTGATTCTGTTACTGAAGTCACACATGACGGGTCCCCCCGGCTATATTTCAGGGGCCATGTGCTTTGCCCAATCCCTTTGGCCTCAGATGAGAAAGTAGAGAGCTCCAATTCACCATTTCCCCTCTCCTCCTGTCCACAAATTCCCTTTTTTCCAGGTGGGGATTATGTAATTATGACACTTTTATATTTGGTTCAACAACTATGAAAATCTGATGTTGTAGTCAGCTAAATCATTGCATCATTGCATGCGTGGAACAACTTCCATGAGTGAAACAGAAATTACCATTCCTCTTTCCTCTGCTTGGATTTCCACCCACCTTCCAGAGCAGATTGGTGGGGCGGGGGGCATGGGTGGGAGGAGGAATTCCATTGCACTCGTGGAACTCATTCTGCTTGCACAGGGACTTAATTGAATCCAGCCCATGGTGTTCACACCAAGGAAATAAGAATGGAGGCAATGTTCACACATAACGAACATTCAGATTAAGAATGTGAAAATAGTGCTCATCAGGTCTTCCATAGGTTCATAAGACAATCTTGGCTATTAGATTCACGCCCTTTTTCTGAGACCCCCTTTCTGTTTGGCCCTTCACCCTTATGCAAGAATTGCTCTAGTCTCATAAGACCATATCTCACGTGGTGCATTTGCTCATTTCCTACCTGAATGTTCTCTCCCCAAATTTCCAGACTGTTGCTGTGTAGTAGCCACCTCTGGATCTCTTACCAGCACCCTTTCAGTCTCCACATTTCTAAGGCAGGCCACTGTGCCACATCAATACTTTCCAGTGTTTTAAGACTTATAATTAGGGCTGTCAGCCTGTTAGAGAACTGTTAGTTCATTACAATAATCAGACCTTTACCCGATCAGTTAATTAATTGATCGAATTTAAATAAATGTGCATATTACCAAAAAACCTCAATACAGATGTTTTTGAGATATTGACGGAAGCATGAGAGAGGTAACAATTGAATAAACAAAGATTGCGAGAAGGAAAGGTCATTGTTTATGTCCCCCACCCTTTACATTTCCAGAGGGGTAGCCATGTGAGTTCGCTGCAGCAAAAAACAACCAGGGGGCTAACATACAGATCATGAAACAAGCTTACATTTATTTATGTATTTTTATTTGCAAAAAAATAAAATCATTCTATGCACCCTCAAGATTAAGAAAATAAATTGTCATGGCAGTGAACAGTATCAGATCAACAATAAAATTACAGTCATAGAACAAAGACAAAATATATCACCAGTCAGTAGATCAGACTGATAGATTCACATAGCTGGATCACCTCCCTCCAGGGTAAACTGACCATACCGTGCTGGCTACATTCAATTAGTCAGGAGGGACAGTTATCAGGAGAGCAAATAGTAGAGCACATTTACTGCAAGCATCTTCTGATGATATCAGGTCACATAAACCAAGCCTACATAACAAGGAAAGATGTGATATTGCATGCCTTGCAAGGAACTGCCAAAGCCATGGTGTCAAGATTGCTCCAAAGGTGAGCCATTGTACCTTCAAATTCTTACACAAATATGTGTCATAGTGCGCCTTCAAGGGTCCAGTGGCGTGTCTTCCAGGGACAACCACCTCCAGAGCACCCTCAAGGATGCAGCAGAGGCAGCAAAGTATGTCTTCTTTGCTATCCTCACTGTCACATGATGGTGCAGTTACGAGCTCTAACCAGTGTTCGGTCAGTCTCAGAACAAGATTTCCACCACCTATGCTCTGGTTGCAATCCAGGCTGTTTTAATACCATAATAAATCATACCATAATAAATTTGTTAGCCAAGGGATTCTTATTTTTTCTTTATAAGTTGTGCTAAGACACCAGAACCAAAATAGCATAACGTCTGTGCTCCCCTTCCCAACCCCCCCTGTGCTCTCAACTCACATTCTGCTAATTAAAACTTGCCCCACCAGTTAACCATTTTAAACTTTACACTCTGATCCATGTTTGATAATTCAAATTGCATCAAGTGTTTGATACTTGGTTGGAAAGGTTAAGGAAAGGCTAAGCAAAGGTGTGGCTTATGGAAAACTAGTATTGTATTCCAAGATTAATGAAAAGTATAAAGGTAAAGGACCCCTGGATGGTTAAGTCCAGTCAAAAGTGACTGTGGGGTGTGGCGCTCATCTTGCTTCAGGCCAAGGGAGTCAGCGCTTGTTCACAGACAGCTTTCCGGGTCATGTGGCCAGTATGACTAAACGACATCTGGTACAATGGAACACCGTGACAGAAGCCAGAGCGCAAGGAAACGTAGTTTACCTTCCCTCTGTAGTGGTACCTATTTATCTGCTTGCACTGGTGTGCTTTTGAACTGCTAGGTTGGCAGAAGCTGGAACAAAGCAATGGGATCTCACCCCATCATGTGAATTTGAACTGCCAACCTTCCAATCAGCAGGTCCAAGAGGCTCAATGGTTTAGACCCCAGTGGCACCCGCATCCCCTCAGGGATGAATAAAGTGTTAATGAGCATGTATGCACCCCAAGAGCCCTCTTAAAAGTCCATGAGAAAACAGGGGGATAATGATCTGCAAAAACAACCCAGCTTAAGCAACACTTAAGCAACACTATGGAATGCTGTTCCTGGCATTGAAGGTATTTGGTGAAGGAAAAAATTAATGTGCATATTTGCTTGTTTTCAGCTTTTAGTTTGATTTTGTGCTGAATTTCTGCTGCTTTATTCTCCACACTGCTTAGAAATGCTAATGATTAAGTGTTATATAAATGCCTTAAATAAATAATCAAAATGTTCATTTAATCCATCTGCTTTACATTGCTGGAAGACTTGTTTAGAGGGTTGTTCAACAACATGGACTTGGCAGAAGAGCAGCTTGGCCCTTCGGTAGAAGCTCAAGTTCAGCAGACAAGGGCAGAAACCAATCAACAGAAGGATACTAAGTTTGAGAAATGAATGTAGAAGTGTTGAGAAATCCAAATATTTGTTTAAAAACCAAGGAGGACACAAACTCACCCAATCCTTCGGCATTATTCTTAAAAACATTGGGCAAGATTCTCCTAATGAGCCCCATCAGCGGATGCCTTGCACAAGGACTTCCACTTGGGAAACCCCCAGAACAGCACACGGGGGGAGCAGAGAGATAGGATCATTCCATCTGGCAAGCAGAGATGTTTGTGCAGATGGAAAGACTGGAAGAACACAACACTGAACTCCATCCAACATGTTCTTTTGTAACAACATTCTTTGAGTAACTTGAGTGGTAACAGCTGTGACAAGTGAAAGGTGGAGGTCATGCATTATGCATCTGTAGAGGCAGCCCTCCGCTAGGATGGGTGGGGAACCTCAGGCTTAGGGGCCAAATAGTCCTCCAGGCCTCTCTAGCTCGTCCTCCTCTAAGCCCCCATTGAGTGCTTTTGGTCTAACTGGGATGTGCTTTTGAACCATTTGCCTCTTGCTTGCCCAGATGTAGAGACCTCTGACTTTTACAGGCCCAGAATTTAGCCTACCCTACAAAGGCAAGAGCCCCATCTGTTGTTCTGCCCACTTTTGCCTCTGGGAGGAATTCAACATAGTACTCAGGAGACTGTCTAGTCAGCACAAGCATTTCAGCTTGCCAGACAAAATGATCTCCCCTCCCCCCCCCTCACATGCTCTTCTGGGTGTCCCCCCCCCCGACACACACACACCAGCCAGTTGGAGGGGGGCATGAGAGGAAGGGACAAAAATCCCCATTGCACCAGCAGAAGACCTTGAAGACCTCTGGTTCCACCCACCATAAACATGCAACTCCCATAAGGGAATATGACCTGTGGTCTCAAAATGTTTCTCCACTCCTGCCCTAGATTGAGGGATGTGTGTGAAGAGACTGTCCCAAAAGCCAAAGAGAATTCTGGAAGCTGGAGAGAGGCATGTAGGGGGGTGGGAAAGAGACAGAGAGGAATTATTCCGAGAATGGATGTGTGACAAGGGTTAGAGAGGCCTTATGTTTTGCAATCCGGGGTTGACAAAACACTCCTGCTCCTCTCCGAGTGGACCACAGTCATCTCTAAGGAGTGATCTGCTTGGCTGCAATAGCCTGCAAAGTGATACCACACAGCCAACATGTACTGCCAATAACTTATTCCCTTCAAAGGCTGTGGCATATTTACTCACATTGGCCTTAATCATCAATGCACTCTGCCTGTCGCTCTGCAAAATAGGAAAGCCTTTGAGGATCAGGGTAGATTGTCAATAAAGCTCCTGTCCCTTCTTCCCACTACAGAAGACACTGCAACAGTGTTCCCTCAACAGAAACCTTACAAGGCTACAGAAGTAACATCTGGATTCCACTGGTGAATTTCCCCTGGAAACAGCCACCAACTACATCTTGGGAGGAAAAGGGTAAGTTGAAACCGGTGGCACATGTCACAATAGCTCCCTCCTTGGCCAAAGCAGTAGATGGATTTGCTGGGGCTTCCAGGTAATGGCACATACAGCTGTTGTGCATTCTCCTTTCCTTCTCCAGATTATACTACAGATGTGTTGCATCTTCCTTTAGCAAACCTGGTATTTATTCTGGGAAATACTAGCATAGAAGAATTGATTCCCCAAGACTACATAACCATGACTTAGCCCAGATCTTTGGAGGACAAAGTGTATTATGTGAGCATCTCGGATTCATTTTTTAAACAAAATGAATTTCTAACCCTTGTGGCAGCAGAGAAAAGCTTGAAAAGGTGAATCCAAATGACACAAAAAGGGATTGGTTTAGTGGAAAACCTGGACCGGATTTGTAAGCACTGGACCACAGAGAGAAAAGGACTTTGCCTCCAGTAAGCAGGAGGGAAAAAATGGTCTGGTTTTCTCTTGGTGGGAATGAACAACGATGATAAAAAAACCGGAATCATTTAGGTTGGCAAGGGAATTACAGGCAGCCCCAGTCCTGTGCATGTTTACTCAGAAGCAAATCATAGTGAGTTCAGTTAGACATACTCCCAAGTAAATGTGCATGGGACTGTAGTCTCAAAGTGGAGATAATAAATGTTTTCAGACATTTTAGTTTTGGAAAGCATGTAAGAGAGATGGGCTGTCTGATCTTTCATTTATTCGTGCTCTTGGATGGAACATTTAAAGAAGGATTTTGTGCCTGTGTGTGTGTGTGTGTGTGTGTGTGTGACAAGTGCATGTGGGCAGGGTTAAATGGGTTTTACAAACACAAAGAGCTGCCTCAGAAAACCAGATTCAGCTTCCATATGCCACTTCTTTGTAGAGGTTTGCTGAGACTTCTAAAGCAGATAAGCCCTGATTAGAAACACAAGTAAAATGCCTCGAAACAATATTGGTGGAGGGGGGAAAGAGAGATAATGAGTCGCACTATCCAAGACAGGGAGATGGATAGTGGTGTTGATTTTAAAATTCTCCCTATTTTGTCATCTTCTAGTTACAAATAACAATATTTCTTACAACTCATTTATGTGAGATGACGCTTAGCCCTCGGAAACTACCTTGCCCTTTTCACTTCCTTGCTTCTAATTCTGCAGCCCTGCAGAGATACACCTGGGAACATACACAGTGAGACTTCTTTCCACATATATAGGCATAGTGTGGTGGCTTTGTTTTCTAATACAGGGATGGGGAGCCTGTGGCCCTCTAGATGGCGTTGGACTCTCAACTCCTATCAACCCCAGACAGCATGGGCAGTGGTCAGGGATGATGGGAGTTCTAGTCCAACAACATCTGGTGAGTCACACCTCTTCTAATGTTGCTGCTCCCACCACCATGGCATTTGCTCCAGCCAAAATGACTCGAGGCATTTTCCTGGAGTAAATGGCAAGTAAGACATGCCCAGTCTTACCGAGCATGTGCCTCAAATGCAGACTCACTCCTCAGCATTGCCAGTTTAAGTAGCCCTGGAAGCAGAACTGGGATAGCTACGCAATTGCTACTGGGGGTACCTTTACCTTTTTATGGCAGATACAATAGCTCCTGCCTATCAATTGGACTGCAGCATATTTCCCCACAAAAATTACTAGTTACGTGTTTCTCAAATCTGTGCTTTATCTTGAGAGAGGCAATTTATAAAAGGGCAGGTAAGACACTCACTTCACACTCAGAGGTTAATAACTTCACCTTTCTCAGAGAGCTCCTGGGAGCATCTTGTTTTGTCACTTGGCATCAACAATGTATACAAAATGGCACTGAATATGCCAGGGATTGAACTCTGGGACTCTCTGCATGCTATGAGATACATAGCACCTTCCCATTTCTGTCCAGAGGACTTAAGGTTTGGGGAGCCAGTGCCCCCACAAGCATTGTTTAATGCGAGTTTCCATAAACTCCAGTCGGCATGGACAACGGTCCGGAATGACAGGAAATGAAATCCAACAAGATCTAGAGAGACCACAAATTCCCTTCCCCTGATATAGAGGGACTATCAGGGATGGACTTGCGAAACATGCAAGCAACCACCAAAACTATTATGTATTTAAAAATTACAAGCTAAGCCGCAAGTCTCTGCAGTGGTGATACCTTTGTGCAGGAATTAAGAACCTGTGAGTCTAGCTTTGGGCCAAACACCTTTGGGTTCATGGAGAGAAGTGTGGAACATGGAATTCTTCCTTTGGTCTGCCAGCGCTCCTGTTCTGCTGACAAGCAGGCACAATATGCACCAACCCTCCACTAGCTGCCATGCAATACTGCAGCACAAAGCAATTCGGAGAGGGTTTTCCTTTGTCCCTGCCTCTCACTCAGAGTCCCACAGCTTGTGAATCGGGAACAGGCCTTTCATTCTCTTGTTACCTACTTGAGTGTTTCAGCCAGGTAAAGGAACAAGCCCAGACCATATTTTGAACCTGCCACCTTCCCCGCCAAGCACATTTGCCAGAGTGTCCTCTAAGTCTAGCCAGGGTAAACCCAGTTCTTATGATCTGCTAGAAGTTAGCATTCACCTGGCTGGCTCCAGTCCTAAAGAGCAAGTCCGTTTCTCTCTTTTCCCCGCCCCCCCTTTTAAATCCTGAAAGTCCAGTGTCATGGTGCCAGCCCACTCTGGCTCTCCCGCTTCACACCTGACCCGAGCCACGGTCCCTTCGCCGGCGGCGCGAGGTGGAAGTCCACTTTCCCCTCCCCTCCTTCCCCGGCTCACTTCCATACCTCTCCAGTGCCGCGTTTTTGGCCTGGCTGGGCTTATCCCTCCTCATCCCTGCAGCGGACCTTCCCTCCGCTCCCCTATTTCTTTGCCCTGTTCTCCGGGCTTCCTCCCCTCCCCGCCGCGCCATTCCCGGCCGGATCTCCTCAAGATCTCTCCTTCTCCTCTGAATCCCCCCTCCTCGGTTCCGCTCCAGATTTTCCTCCCTGTGCAATGCGTGCGTGTGCACCTCCCCTCGGCCTCCCAGGTGTATCCGTCCCTTCTGGAACCCGCTCCGCTTTTCCGTTCCTGCCTTCTTCCCCAGCTCGGAGTGGAACTGACTGGCCCGCCGCCGCCGCCGCCGCCGCCGCGTGCGCAAAGTAGCAAGCTTCTCCCGCCACCCCCGGGGCATTCTCGCTGGAGGCTCCTGGCTCTGAGGCCCAGCATCTAGCCGAGGGCGCCGGACTAAGGAAGGGGGCTCGCCGCCGCGGAGCGCCTCTGTGCGCCTTCACCTTTCTTTGGCGAGCGAGTCTGCCGGGAGGGGGCGCCCCAGCCAGAGGAGAGCGAACAGTTCCTTTGGCGAAGGGGAATCCGGCGGCAGGCGAGGCAGCCGAAGCCCTCACGCCGCCGAGAGGCACCGGCGGCCGCTGGGACGCTCGAGGGCGCAAGGCGAGGCCCGGCGGCCCGACCTCCTGAGGAGCACCGAGTTCCCCCCCCCCTCACCGCCCGGGGTTGGCGGGGAGCGCGCGTGTGCCTGTTTGTGTGCACCGAGGCGAGGGAAGCGCAGGAGAGGAGAGGAGCGACGAGCAGGCAGACGGAGCCCCCACCCCGCCGCCGCCAGCGCGCGCGCGCGCGCCTGTGTGTGTGTGTGTGTGTGAGAGAGAGAGAGATCGAGAGAGAGAGAGATCGGGGGTGGGGGTGGCTCTAGCTTCGCTTGCCTCCACCGTCTCCAAAATGCCCGGACTGCTTTCCACGGATGGATATATTTTAAGACTTCCTTTCGCATTGCTAGGCGAGGCGGTTCGCCGGCTGGAGGCGTCCGCCAGTGACATCTCATCGGGGGAAGGAGGGCTTTGATTTGGCCCCTTCTCTGCCTGCCTGCCTCCCTCCTCCTCCTCCTCCTTCTCCCCCTCCCTTCTGCTATTTCGGGAGGGGGCGGCTGCAAACAAAAAAAATTAAACCCCACCAAAAAAAAAAGCCAACAAAAAGGGACGGCGCTTGATTTATAACAGAACGCCCCATCTCTCTCCCCTTGTCCCTGCTCTTTAACTCGCCGTCCCTCCAGGGGCAAAACAATCCGAGATCCGGACGCGTCGTGTTTTGTGTGTGTATGTGTGAGTGTGGGGTGTGTGTGCGCGCGCCCCCCTTTCCACGTTTCTCTGAAATCGACGCCCCAAGGGGGAGCAATCGGAAGAAGATCGAGATCGCGCATCACGCATCCGATCGCCTCGTGTTTCCGAATACCTGAGGGGGCTCAAGCCCTGCCGTCCTGGCGGCGGGATGGATTAGGGATCCCTGAATGGAGGAACCCGACGGGGCTGGATCGCAGAAGGTAAAGACGAGGCTTGTCTTCTCAGGGGATTGCGCGTGGGGTTGGCGTGCTGGTGGCTAGGGGGGGGGACTGGGCTGGCGAGCCTTGCCTATCTCCACCCCCACCCCCCGGTTTCTCATCGATGACCCTTGCTGGCTTCGGACACCTGGCTAAATCGGACTGATGGCGAGGCTTTATTTGAGAGGCGGGAGGTGCTGGTGGCTTTGGCACAGGTTTCATTTTAAATTGGGGTGGTGGTGGTGGTGTGTGAGAGGAAGTAGGAGGTGCAATCTTTTTTTATTATTTGTTTGGAAACCTGAGCTGTCCTCGCCTTGAGATCTGCCCGCTCCCCGGTGGTTTGGGTCTATGTTGGTGGACCTGATGTTTGGTTAGCGCTTCTCACAGACAGGCTTTCTTTGCGCTACAGAGACTTGGACGGGGGAGGGGGGGATGATGCTGACTGGACTACGAGGCTGGGAGGAAGGGACCATTTCCTCCTCTTCTCCTCTCTCTCTCTCTCCCCCTCCGCATTTTCTCCGGAGATTTTGTGATCGGACAGGCTCTGCAAATGCGGAGGTCCTTTTTCCGCCCACGGATGAGGCGGCCGCTTGTCCTCCGCTGGGTCTGCGTATTGCTCAAGACAAAGCCATCTGCAAAAATAAAATTTTAAAAAAAACACCCCTTCCCTTCCCCTCGTCGCGGTTACTGCGGTATTCCTCCCCCCGCCACACACACACACACACACAACAGCACGCCTTTTGTATATATGTGGCGGGGGTGGAGTTGGGGGGGGGGTTGAGAAAAAGAGCCATTACCCTCCAAATACCGTAATGCACAAAGAGGAGGGAAGGGCTTTTTCTCCAGATCTTGTCTCTGTTCTTATCCTTGCCTCCCCACCCCTCCACTCCGGTCAATTTTGCTGCAGGGGGGGGGGGGAGCCGGAACCAGGACAGGTTCGTGGTAGTAGCTGCCGTCCCCTGTAATGTTTTTCACCTGATACGTGTCTTTATGTAACAGACACGCTTTATAGGAGGCGGAGGAGGAGGTGGCGGACACACATACACACACGTGCGCGCGCGCGCATATCCTTTTTCCCACGTACAGTTTCAAGATGGGAGGAGGATGCAGGCGGAATGGTTAATCAGGCGGGGGGGGCGCGCATTGGCTTGCTGCGATGGCTCTTGGGCTTTGCCATCCACCCCCCTCGATGCCCACCCCGCCCCCGCAGCCGACGAGCATCTCGCTCTGGGGGCGGGCTGATGTGCCCCTTACTTCACCTCAGGCCAGGCCCTTCTGGAAGCAGCCCACCTTCGGGGCGGCTGGTGGGTCCCCTGAGCCGGGAATTTGTCTGGGAGTCCGATTCTGTGGCACCGGGGGCCCTGATCTCATTCTGCTCCCTCTAGTCAGGATGTTCTCTGAATCAATGGGCACCTTGTATAATGTCTCCCCGATTCCCATTGACCCATGTGAAGGAAAGAGCCGGCAGAGAATTCGGGGAGGGAGATAATCGAGAAGAAATGTACCTGATATTCTTAAATTACTGCATCCACAATCATATAACATGCCCCCCCCCCCAACCATTCTCCACGAGTGTTGGTTATTCACATCTTTCCCTGCCAATATCTTTCTGGTCTAAGGCTGCCTCCTATTTCAGAAGGACAGGAGATTCTTTTAAAGTAGCATTATTTCCCAAAACCAGTATGGTGGAAAAAGCAGAATGGTTAGATTGATGATTGCTGCAAACCCAGTTAGATTTCAAATTCTTCCGAAGGGGTGGAAGGTGGAGGGAAGTGAACAGGTCCAGCCTTATTATGATAGGATGCTGGGAGCTCTTCCCTCAGTTGGGAAATAAACAGGCTGGGGAAAGATTTATTTATTTATTTATTTATTTACCATTGGGAAATAAGATGGATCGAGAAGGGGCTCTCTCTCTGTGTGTGTAGACACAGAACGATTAGCAAAAGGCGAGTGAGAAGAGATTGACAGATACAGACGTGGAAAGGGGGGGATGGGGGGAAGAGATGAAGGATGAACAGATGGATGGATGAAGGGGGAATGGATGATCAGATAAAGAACCTGTTAGTAATCGCTCCATCCTCCTCTCTTTTCTGCCTCTCCCCAAATTTATTGTCCATAAGGCCCTCCCTCCCGGACCAATTTCCTGTGGTTGCTTTCTGCTTTCAGCAGTGATTGAATGGTATATCCCCCCCCCCCCGTGAATGTCTCTTCACAGTGCTGTCTCTCTTGGCAAAGGTGAGTCAAACGAGGAGCTGTAAAACATCTTTGGGGAGAACAGAATATGAGGGTTGTGTTGAAAAAGGAAGGAATTGCCAGCAGGAGACAGAAGTTGGCCTGGCTTGATGAAACCCTCTCATTTTGGCACTTGGAGAGGAAGAAAGGCAAGGTTGTTCAGCGCACTGCTAAAGGTTTTAATTCTGCTCTGATTTTCCAACCCCCCCCTTTTTTTTGCCTGGGGAAGAGCCATAGTTCAGTGGTAGAGCATCTGCCTTGCATGCAGAAGGCCTCTGGTTCAGTCTGTGGCATTTCCAGGTAGGAGAAACCCCAGAGAACTCCTGCCAGCCAGTGTAGACAGTACTGAGTAGGATGAACCCCCCCTCCCCAATGGTCTGTCTTGGTCCTCCGTTTCCAGTCCTGCTCCTCATCTTTAATCATCTCTTCACAAAACAAGGAAATCATTGCTTGGACCAATAGAGGGTACTTGCAAATCTCCACCTGCAAGTCTCCAGTTTGAGAGTGTCTCACAACATATTGTATATCAAATATCCATGCAGCTGAACTCCTGAGAATATTGGTAAAGAGATGCACCAGTTCACTGCTGTTTGAGCATTCCTAGGGTAGTTAGAGGCAATGCAGTTCAGGAGATGCTTTAGAAGCTTTCAGAACATTTGTGTAGCAAAACAACAAACAAACAAACAAAAAAACCCAGGGGAAAACAAAGAAAGACAAACACCCCTTCTAAAACCCTTCTGGAACAAGAATGATCATGGGCTAGGCTTCACTGGTTGGATGACATCTGTCTCGAAAGACATATTGAGAAAAATTGTGGAATGTTTGTTTGGGTTTGGGAGATTTGGAATCCAGAACACCTGGGCTCCTTTTGAATTTCCTAACAGGCAGGCTGTTGCTATTGCCAATCTTTAATTGCAAACATCAGATGCGCTGGGGTTTAAGTGTACCTGAGAGTTGTGACTCCTAACCTGGAAGTTCTTCCCTCTAGTGTGATTCGATTGGCTGTATGGAGTCCCTGTGGGGTGAGGGAAAGTTACTACATTTTTCATAAGATCCAGAGCTTCACCCTGTATTATTGAAAACAGGTTAAACCCTGAGCTCTATGATGTTGTATGTGGGGTGGGGCGTGTTTTTGGAACAAAGGCTTGGGAAGTATTTTGCAAGCGTTGCTCAGAAAGTCCCAAACACTGAGTGAGCATCAAGAGGAAAACTATATTAATGGGTACCACTCATTGCAGGTTCAGAGGCAGCATGCTCTGAAAACTAGGAGCTGGAGTGTCCTCCTTGCGGTTATTATGGGACACAGGAAGCTGGAGTAGGTGGGCCTTTGGTCTGATGCAGCAGGGCTCTCTTCTTATGTTCTTGTGGGAATGAGACCTTCATTCTAGGTGCCCCCCAAATAGTAACAGGGTTTGGTTTTTTACCTCCCCCTTTGGATGTTAGGCTGCTGAGCTGCTTTTCTTTACCCGTGTCTTGCTTGCATTGGCCTGATTTAAGAAATTGATGGGACAGAGAGGTAGGATCATATTATTTTTGTTATTTATTTAATTTCTAACTGCCCTTCACCACAGGGCAAATTACAATATGAAAACACAAAAATACACATCATAGTAATACAAACATGCATACCATAATAACAAACAACACACACACACATACCCAATTTAAAAGGGCATAATAGTTTAATTAGCCAAAGGCCTAGGAGAAGAGGAATATTTTTGCCTGACATCTCAAGATTTGTAATGAAAGTGCCAGGCAAGCCTCCCTAGGAAGAACATTCCACACTGCAGAAAAAGCTCATTCTCATGTTACCACCTTCTGGGCCTCTCATGGAGGGGGTACACAAAGAAGGGCCTCAGATGATGATCACAGGGTCCGGGGTGGTTCATATGGGGAGGGGTGGTCCTTGAGGTATTGCGGTCCTGAGCTGATGACTTGTCCTATATACCTGGAGACCTTTTGTTTTTTGTTGTTTTTTTTATAAGATATTTATTGAAATTTTCAAAATATTACAAAAAAAAGAAAAAAAAAGAAAAATACAAAATAAAAATAGTTAAAAACAACTCAATCTTTCCATTACTTATTTTTCATTAGCTTATTTCCCGGACCTCCTCACGCCTCCCTTTTTTGTATTCCAGTTCGGTTTGTTGGTTCAGCAAATCCTTCCCCTCTTTGTTTATACAAGTCTTTAATCTTAAAGTATTGTAACGTTAAATTTTTACCTGTTAGTAATCCATTTTTCATATTCCCTTATAGTATTACAGCTAGAAACCACTTACTTTCTATCCAACATCATTCTAACATTCATTAATTTTACAATATTTCTGTAAATAGGCTTTAAATTTCTTCCAATCTTCTTCCACCGACTCTTCTCCCTGGTCTCGGATTCTGCCAGTCATTTCCGCCAGTTCCATATAGTCCATCACCTTCATCTGCCATTCTTCCAGAGTGGGTAGATCTTGTGTCTTCCAATACTTTGCAATGAGTATTCTTGCTGCTGTTGTTATACCTGGAGACCTTTTGGGGCAGAAATGCCAATCTGAATTGGGATGGGTAGTTCCAGCCATGAATTCCATGCCATGGGCCGGCTGTTATTCATGTTCAGTGACTCCGATAAACTAGAGGGGCAAAATTTTAGGTTGGGCCTCATTATGTCAGAAAATATCTGTAATTGATATAAAATTGGTCATATTTCCTTTCCTTCTTTCCCTCTCTACTCAGGATGTATATTCCTTGAGATCAAAGATGGTCTCTTGCTGTGATAATATGGCACCAATTGGAAAGATAATCTAGGTGCAACTGAAATAATCCTAGCCCTTTTCATATCTGCAAACTCATTGAAAGCAGCTGATAAACATCCTAGTATGATGAGAGGAAGGGAGATTGTTTATACCTTTACAGTGTTTTTGGGAGCACATCCCTGGTTTTTGGAAGCCCCATGTATTTATCAGCTGCCTATAAAGCACACAGTACTTTTCACCCACCAGAAAACTAATGGAGGAAGATGAGTGAATCTCTTTTGTCCTGTAATATGCGCAAGCATATGCCCACCCTCCTTACAAACCACAGAGTGTCGTGCATGACTTTAATTCCTGCATTTGCCATGGCTTAATTGTACCCCAAGTACTGCAGCTACTTTTGAAGGTGCTTTGCTGGGCATAGGCCCCATTCTGTCAAATGAGTCCAGGGGGCTGTGTGTAAAGGGCCCTAAATGCAGGATTCTGTTGTTTGCATGGAGGATGGGGATATATGGGCCCATATTATAAATTTTCAAATTCAGCTAGGATGTATCCTGCATCTAGTGGATAATACGTGCTATGTGCTTTGGAGACAAACAATAAATACATGAAAAATGATATTTTTAGATAGACTCTTTCCAGTGATAAGCATCCAACTTAGCATCCAGAGGCCAGGAAGATTTCATTTCCCCCCTTGAATATTGTAACACTGGAGGGTGTTTCCATGGATGCTGTTTATTTCCCCTGGAGGTGTACAGTTTCTTTTTGGAATTGAAAATAGTGTTTGGATTGTGGAAAACAAGTCCTTTCCAAAGCCCCTATTTGCTAACTCCCATCTGGAAAGCAGCAGATTCTTTCACTTTTAGTAATATGGTCCAAAAATGGATTCCCCCAAGATTTCCTTTGTTCTAGTAGGGAGGAGTTCCATAACCCAAGTATATGAAGGAGGGTGGGGGTGAGAAAAATGCAGGCCTGAAGTAAGTGTCCTCTTCCATCTGACACATGGGTCCATTTTGCCCTCTTCCTGCGTCTGAAAACCATGCCTCCGTTTTCATTGCAGCTGTGGAGTGTGCTGTATGTGGTAGGTACAAGCATAGTTCGTTTTTGTAGCTCGGTGCAAATGGACCCTGGCCCCAGTTTGGTATGAGTTGGCTTCCCTTTTCAGGAGCCAATACAGCTGGGTCCCCCCGGCCGATATAAATCAGCATTGCCTCTCTTAAATGAATGGAAACTGTGCTGATGAACGCCAGCTGGAGGTGTGTAGCCTTTTGCCAAGCACCTTTGTGCTGCAGCCCCTGTGACAGGGCCTTCGCTTACGTGAGCCTGTGGCATTTGCCCGGAGCCAGTATCCTGTTATTTTTAAAGAAGGCCATCTTCTGAAACTGACATCGCAGCACAAAAATGCCTCTGAGCAGGGAGCTCTTCAACCAAATCTAAATCAGCATCTCCCTGCATAGGCACAACCTTCCCTGAGAAACCTCACCAGCTCCTATAAGCCCAGGGGGTTGTGTGTGTGTGTGTGTCCGTCCAGAGCGACTGATGTGACAAGAAGAATTCCCTTCCATGCCTGATCATGTGGGATGCAGATTCCTACAGAGATGTCAGCCATTTGCAAGCCACCAAGTGTTTCCTTTGAGTTAAGGAGTTTGACTTTCCAAGAGAAGAGAGACAGCAGCCTGGCATCTGATGGCTTGTTGTGCAGACAGACCATGGGATGCAGGCAGGGGAGGGGTAGGGAGCAATTATTTAAATAATAATAAAGTATTTTCTCTTCCTCCGTTCCTACAATGTGTGGGTGGCTTTTTCTTAGATTGTATATAGAAGAGGTTTTTATTTTAATGATTATTATTTAGCTGGGGAGCGTGTGGGCGTCTGCAGCCAATTTCTGAAGCTGCGCTACCTGTCTCGTGTTCAGCATGGGGGGGATATTTCCCCCGAGGGCCTTCTGCAGTGGCACTGAATATATTAGTGACTGCTCACACGCATGCCTACATGATTGTGTGTGAGCGCACGCACACACAAAAATGTGCAACTCCACCCATGTTCTCTTCAGCATGCATGTGCTTATGTACATGCCCTCCATCACTCACGTGTATACACTGTCTCTTTTGTCATGCACTTTCCTATGATCAGCACAGCAGAGGAGTCTTTCCTTTCCCCCCCGTGTCAGCAAGTGCTTGGGGATTAGAATAATATGCTGGGGATGATTAAGGGATGGCAATCTGCTTGGAGGTGATGCAGACAAATGGGAGGGAGGGGATAGCCTCATCCTCCTCTCCTCCCCTGTCCTGTCTGTTATCACCAGACAGTATCTAAGACCAACCTATCCATAGCCAGATCATCTGTTCTCATAGTCTTCATTTTTAGTCTTCTCTCGTAGTTTTCAACCATTTCGGTAGTGGGCTCCAAACTCTCCTTCCTTGGTTCCACACCCCAGATCTTTCAGCAGGACTGGTGTTGTCTTCTGGCACCCTCGGGCAGCTGCTGGAGAAGTCCCATGCCCTTTGTACTCCACAAAAACAATAACAACTCCAATCCTTTTTATTTTTGTTTTTTGTAGGCTTGAGTCAACTATTTTAATTTCCTGCAATGTACCAGTGTAACACCACGTCGGGGGCATTGTGGGAAATTTAAATGGAAGCAGCTGCCGGCAATGCTGTTCAGAGTATTGTGGGGGTAGCTCTTGACCATGACTGCCTGCCCTGGTGGAGCAGAACTGCAGCAAAAGTCTTCTGGAAGGAGAAGTGGTGGTGAGGTAATGGTGCCACCCGTGAGCTGTTTCTCACCCATGGCCCCCTCAGACCAGGAGGGGGCCTTCTCAAAGACACTCATAAATGCCTACCTGAACCTTAAGATGCTCTTTCGATCTCTAGTCTGGGTGCCCCCACCAAGTTAAATGGAGGAGGGCTGTCAGGGAGCAATAGCCCCCTAGCTATGGAATATTCTCCTCAGAGAGGCTCACCTGGTACCTTCTTTATGGTGAAAAATACATTTTTATTCACCCAAGGATTTTCGTTGCATTTTGAATCTGAACTGTTTCGTGCTGGCCCTATTGCAATGAAAGTTTTTTTTAACCCGTCTTTTGTTTTGTAATGTTTATTTTAATTCTTATATATTGTATTTTTAACATTGATTTGTAAGTCACCCAGCGAATATTTATTGACGGGCTGCTATATAAATGCAACAAATAAATGAAAAACAGAGAGAGGGGGAGAGAGAGTCTGTTACCTTCCTACAACAATGCATTTCACTGTGTCAGGTACCACTAAAGATATTTATGGCTGGCCATGGAAAGGATAGTGGTTAAGTTAGATCTTCCACTTCACTGCTTGACACATTGGTTAGGCTCTACATTCAAATGAATAAGGCTTCTGTAGTACTTTCTATCCCATATTTACACGTTTTATCATAGCAATGATATTCACACATAAGTACAAGGAGCATGAGAGAGTTTCAATATTTGCTTTTGGTGTCAGTTTCCCTTTTGGCAAACCCAATCTGCCAATACCTATGTATCTTTGCATCTCTTCAGGCAAGCAAGAGGTTAACTTCCTGCAAAAGGATGATTAGTTAAGGTTGTTATTGCTCTAAGAAGAAGAAGAAAAGAATTATACTATTGCTTATTTGCATGTGTTGATTATCATGCATGCAAATGTGAAATTGCTTCTCGCCTAGCAGTGATATTGAGTTTAAAAATGCACCTGGTTCAGCTGAGTCAAAACTGGCCTGGTGGAGGCCCCTAATGATGACTGAGCTGTAGGATATGGGTGAAACCTATTTAGAGTGGAATTATAAATTCAGTCCTTCCTGCTTGCTTTGGGATCTCCATGAAAAAGAAGGGGAGAGGGAATAGTGATGGATGCCCTGGAGTTGTAGAAGTGGTTTGATGCAGTCGTTCAAAGGAGAAGAAGAGGCAGAATAGAGGGATATGGTACCTATGGTCATTGCTGATCCAAGATGATCCTAGGGAGTGTTGTGCTACAAGTAGCCTTGGAGGATGCTTGGAGATGGTCTCAAAAGTTGCTACCTGTCACAAGCTGTTTCTAGACTGTAGGACAGTATGGTGAAGCTGCCTTCCTTGTTGTAGGAAGCACTGCAGCCAGTTGGCCCACTGACATACCAAAGAAATGGAGCATAATAGAAGAGATACTTAAATATAAGGCCAATGAAAAATTACGGTAAGCCTACCAAACTTGTGACTTTCATGGTATGGTCTGAAGGCAGATGAGGCTCCTATCTTGCTGAAGCTAAGCAAGCCTGGGTCTAGCCTGTACTTAGGTGGGAGATCACCAAGGAGCTACATGTATACCACCTTGGAGGAAGAAACGAGGGATATAAAGTGTTAGGAAATCAATACAATGTGAATGTGATAATGAACATGAGACACCTGGATCAGACCAAAGGCCTCCTGGTCTAGCTTTCCCTCCTGTGGAAAATTAGAATTATCTTTTTGTCTCATCTATTTAGCAGATTTATACACCACTTTGGGAGGAAATCTCTTGCCACAGTATTGTCCCAACAACACATTTACACTAAGTCACATGGAACCACATTTGCCATGTTATTGCCCATTCACTCGTTTTGGAGAGAGACATTTGGAGCTAATCACATCCTAAATGATCTGGTTTCATCAGTAAACTTGGCCACCTCACACCTAACTTCAGAACGTTTAGGAACAAGATGAAATGCACCAGCTCCAATACAGATCCTTGGGGGGCTCTTATTTCTTACACTATTCCACAGTGGGAAATAACAATCTATTCCTACCTTCTGCTTCCTGTTCTTTACTCAGTTGCCAATTCCTAAGAGGACTTCTCTTATTCCACAACTACAGTGGTACCTCGGTTTACAAACTTAATCTATTCTGGAAGTCTGTTCTTAAACCAAAGCCGTTCTTAAACTGAGCCACACTTTCCCTAATGAGGAATCCCGCCACTGGTGCCCTTCCACCATTCGGCTTCCATTCGTAGACCAAGGTAAAGTTCGCCAACTGGAACACTACTTCCAGTTTTGCAGAGTTCGAATTCCGAATAGTTCGTAAACAGCGCTGTTCTTAAACCAAGGTACCACTGCACTAAGTTTGGACACTGGATCAGTCCAGTCTTATGAACCTCTTACATCACCTCACCATGTGGCACAAAATTGCAATAAGCTGATGTGTTACGTGAAGAAGAATTAGTTGTCCATCAAATTTACTGGGTAACCCCAAGCATGAGACAGTCATGAGGAATAAACATAGTATATATAACACAAAGTTGACTTGGTAGGATTGCAGTATTATATAAGTGAACAATATAAATACCGGTAATTGTCTTAAAAGAGCTTTCCTTTAAGAACCGAACGCTTTAAATTTCAAATTGTCTGTTCTACCTCGGCTTGCAGATTAATCCTATGCATGTTTACTCTCTTAAATCACTGGGTAATGGTTGAGGGCAGGGAGGAAAAGAGAGTTGGGCCACGCTGCTCACCTTTTCTAACAGATAGGAAAGCAGAGTGAGGAGCTGGCATCAACTTAGGTTTTTTTCTGAGTGATAGGAAGCCACTCCAGTTTGTTCACAGTCACTCAGCAGCCAATTTTTCCTTGCCACTCGTTCCCTTGGCTTGAGTGAGACTTAAGACTTTTTGCCCTGGAGCTGAAGTAAGGGGGGGACCAGGCCAGCTGAGCCTAGCTGAGTCCAGCTCTGTTGCAGCTTGTAGCCACACAATGAAAGGGGGACGTGACAGTCCAGCTCATGGGTAGGCAAACTAAGGCCCGGGGGCCGGATCCGGCCCAGTTGCTTTCTAAATCTGGCCTGCAGACGGTCCAGGAATCAGCGTGTTTTTACATGAGTAGAATGTGTCCTTTTATTTAAAATGCATCTCTGGGTTATTTGTGGGTCATAGGAATTCATTCATTCCCCCCCGCCAAAAAAATATAGTCCGGCCCCTTAAGGTCTGAGGGACAGTGGACCGGCCCCCTGCTGAAAAAGTTTGCTGACCCCTGGTCCAGCTCATTTACACCTGGAGCTGCATGCTCAGCAGCATTGACACTGACAGCAGCTCAATCACTCGTGGGTGGATATGGGAGAGAGAGAGAGAGTGAGTGTGTGCAAAAACTCACTGTCTGTCTGAGACTGGTGGCTCGCCTCGCCTAATGGTAGGGCTGGATCTGAACTCAAAGAGCCCAACAAAGATGGTGGCAACAGGATTAGCTTTTTCAGAAGCCATGCTGATTTTTCTCCAGCATGACTATATGCTTAATAATTTTTCCTTTATTAATGATTTCTACCAGGAGAAGGCATTGAGCTAACTGGCCTATAATTTCAGAGACTCACACTTCTCCTTTACTTCTCACTAGCCCCACTACCTACCCAAGTCCCCCTGTTACACTGACTTTACAGCCATAGAAAGTGCAAGGTCAGCCTTGTCATTAAGCAGAGTGAATGGCTGCCTCAGGTGATGGACACAGGTGGAGTTGGGGGGTGGCACAACATATTTGTGAGTGTGGTGTGGCCTTCCCTGCACCTTATAAGTTGGTTTGCTGCCCTGAGGTACAGTGGAGGATGTTATCTCATTGTCAGTGAGATTCCACTGCCAGTCTAGTTGACTTCTGTATGTAGAATAGGGGAGGCCATCTTGCCCTTTGCCTCAGGCAGCTAAGTGTCTTGGTATAGGCCTGAGACAGTTGATATCACATTCCCAACTCTTTGCCGTTGTTCCACAATCTGCCTTGGGATGACACAATCTTTGGAGCTCAAATGGGCTCATATCATGGTTAAGGGATTGTCTTTCAACATATTGCTCTTTTTTTTCCCAGTGTCTTATGGTGAGTAATGGAAAAGAGACTTACTATACCCTGAGATGTCCCTTAGCTGAGGAAAGAGGGCTCCCTGCAGAGTGAGGGGTCCTGTTTCCCTCGTACCCTAGCAGCAGGCAGGAATATTTTTCGGTATTTACATTTTTCTTTCAGCTCTCTTTCTTTCCCCAGGCTTGGGATAGCTCAGCTGAGCAGACATGCATGGCACTTTAGCAAAGGACCTGCTCTGCTGCCAAAGAAATGTTTGGGGACAGTAGCCACATACTTCTAGCCAGTACACAGTGGCAGTGCTAGTACTGAGAGGTCACTGTGGCAGCTATGGACCTTACTCAGGCTGGCTTCAGCTGGACAAACTGCACAACGTGGCCAGTAGTTCCACTCTTCAGAACAGAGGTGGGAAACCCATGGCCCACCAGACCTTGTTGAACTCCAGCTCCCATCAGCCCCAGCTAGCAAGACCAGTCGTGCGGGATGATGGTGGTTGAAGTACTGCTTTTAGATGTGCCTTGAACATCTAAAGTCTGGGCATATGAAGGCAGCTTTCCATCTTTCAATGAAGACTCCCTTATAGCAATAAGATACTGTACATTCCAGAATTCTTCCTCTGTATCTCTGGCCCTTTTTTAGATGAAGGGAAGATATATTTCCGAATCTGTATTTTTTAAAATGAGTGAGCTTTTAAGAACTCTTCATGAATAGGGACTGAAAGTAAAATAAAAATAAAAAATAGGAATACACAGGGTTTTAGGGAAAAGGAACCAATATCTTGATCCTCCCACTGCGCCCTAAATTGGCATCTTATAAAAATGTTTAGTATCTTATTTGCAGGTAAAGTGGTAAGTGGATGTGTAACCTTCTACCTTGTGAAGGTTGTGTGCTGGTAATCTTATTAACCAACCATGTTTTTAAACAGTCGTTTGATAGCCATAGGAATTGCAGGCAAGCAGAAGAGCAAGGCTGGTTGGTGGAGGAGGAATGGAGCACTCTGTCCCTCTTCTGCATCCAGGATAGAAACCATGCAGGCAGTGAGAGGATGGAAGCCCCCTCCTGCTTGCACAGCCCAGTCATACAGTGGGCCGTTGCAGGAGAGATGGAGCTCTATCCCTCCTTTGCCAGCCCACAGCAGGCTAAAAGCGTTTCTTTGCAGGCCAGTAACTTCTGGACTTACTCACAAGGCTGCAGTTAACAGCCTCTATTTATGCCATGGAGGTGGTGGGAAGGCACATTCCTCCATAGCAGCGGGAAGGGAGATAAAAAGTGCACAGAGCAATAAATGCAACTTTTGCTTTTGCACTGTAGGGTAAATTCCAGCCATGCAAAAGTTAGAGGTTTCCACACATACCCTCCATCTCACGCAGTATTTTTATCCAGGCAAGCACCAGGCATTATCTCAGTTAAAGGAAACCTGTCAGCCAGGCAAAAGCAGTCAAGGAGGGCACAGAGCAGGACCAGTGAAGGATGTGGCCTGGGGATGGTGTGTGTGTGTGTGTGTATGGAGAGGCCTTCAGGGCTGCAAATGTCCCCCAGCCCTCAAGTTCCCCCCTCCTGAATTAGGCCAACCCATTCCTTTGTTTTAGGGAAGACTCTACTGCTTTTATTCCCCCCCTTCTTTCAAGCAGCACATATGGTCATTGCCACACTGTGTTATCATCACAACTCTGCGAGTTAAGTTAGACTGAGGAGAGGGGGCAGGCCAGGTGATTTTGATGTCTGAGTGAGGATTTGAACCTGGGTCTCCTTGTTCCTAGTCCAGCACTCTAACCACTACACCACACCACATCCCTAGTTCACTGCATCAACCTCAGCTCAGAGAAGTGACTTAATTTATTTTTATTTTTAAAAAAATTGCTTTGAGTCAAAGCTCTGCCCCCAAAAGAGCTCTGCCTAGCTCAGAATCTTATATCCAGCACTCTGGTCATTAGTTAGCTCAAGAAACATGTTCTTCTGGTTTAAGCTATCTCTGTATTTTAATATACAAATGAGTGTGACTAGAGAACAAAAGTTGCCAGTATAAATTCCTCCAAGGCAGATAGATGCCCATCAGGATTCCGTGGGTTCTTTTGTATAAATACCTGCCCCAATCACACAGCATGACAGTGGCATCTTAGTAGCGATGCTGACAACTGTAAAGCCAATCTGATAGCTAATTATTGAAAAACACAAACAATAGCTTCTCATTTACCTTTTTCCCCCTTGTTCTCTTCACCCTCTCCACCTAACTTTTCCACCTTCCTTCCAATCCATCCCTTTCTCTTCCTCAGCAATCTTCCCATCCATAGCTCCCACCCGCTTCTCTGCAAAGGCTGCGGCTAATTGATAGGATAACTGGGCGCAGACGTGATTATGGCGATAATTGGTTGGAGCCAAGCTGGGGAGAAGAGCTCCAGTTTAATTTGGTCAGGGGCTCAGAGCGTTTGGTGGGGAGGAAGTGTCCTAATTGAGTTTCTGACAAAGCAGCACATTCCCTTCCTGCTGCTGGGGGTGGGAAGACAAGGATGAGCACACTTGTTGTGTGATGTACACCAACTTTCTTTTGTCCTAGAAGGGTGTAAGTTGGAGCAAGAACAACAGAGCTGGAAACTCAGCTCTTTACCACTTTGATACCTTGTGATGCAACTGTAGGTTTGTTTTTTTGCAGGGTTTGCCAATATTTTGCTCCTCAGATTGTGCTGGACTCTGGCTCCCATCAGCGAATAGGAGGATGGGAGCCATAGCACAAAACAAGTCTGGAAGGCCTAACCTATGGCTGAACAGTTTACAGCTGGCACCATTAGTTGCCAGTCTATAAAGAAGAGAGCCACTATTTTCCTGCAGGCCTACCTTTGAGAAACGGGGGTGGGGGATCGACCTGCCATCCTGAAAATGGCCTGTCCATGAAGCCACTTGCTGTATGGGGAGCTTGCCCCCCACAGTACTCCCATGCCACATGGCATCATGGATCGTAAGACCCAGGAGCCTTGGCTTCCTTGCCCATTGCCCCTCAGTGCTGGCCCGTCAGTGAACAGAGCCTTGCCTCCCGATCACCAGGACTGCAGGTGACACATACACATTTCACTCCACTCACACATGTGAGGCTGAGAGGGTCATTGACTGAAAACTGTAAAGCCAAGCTGTAAACATTGACTAAGTGCTCCCAGGACCGGTCCCTGCAGGAGCCATGTGGATTAATGAGCATTAATTAGCTCCTGCTTGCCTGTCACCAGGGGATCCCAACTCACCTTGCAGACAGGGCTGAATGTGCTCAGAGAGGCAGAGCGGAAAAGAGAACCTTTCAGCTGAGGCTCTGAGTTCTTTGCTTTCCTAGCCCCTCTCCACCCCCCACTGCTAACCTCCCACAGAGTGGCCTTGGCTTTCAGGACTTCTTAACTCCCTTGCCCCAGCTGCTATCTGTGGTTAGGAATTTGCTCCAGAGCAATAGGTTCTGTTTCAAGCATACTATTTGATCTACTCTTAATTACAGTAGCTACCTAGCTTCAACTTGGACTTTTCACTAATTTTGTTGTACAGCAAGCTTCTGATCATGGCAAGATTGCTGGGAACATACTAAGTGCTAAACATATTTCTGCAGTTGGTTTCTCCTAACTCCACTATGTTGGGCTGTGACCGAAGAATAATCTCTAATGCAAACTACCTCAAATGGGTGAGCACTGCAAGAAATCACAGGCTGCTTTGGCAAGTAATGCTCTCTTTTTTCCATTAGTATGATATTTAGAAGAGGAGGAGAAGGAAATAGGACCTTAAGTCAGCATGTGCTCCTTTGCATGCAGGTCCCAGGTTCAATCATTGGCATCTGAATAGACGCATCAAGAAGCTCCTGATATGCAAGCCCTGGGGAGCTGCTGCTTCTACTCAAGAGTGGAGAAGGTTGGTCTAGGGCAAGTTTCCTGCTTGGCAGGGGGTTGGACTCGATGGCCCTTGTGGTCTCTTCCAACTCTATGATTCTATGATTCTAAGTGTTGGGAACCTTGGACCCTCCAAATGCTGCTGAGCAACAGCTCCCATCAGTCCCACCAGCAACCATAGCCCAAGGCTGTGGATGATGGGAGCTGTAGTTCAGCAACACATAGAGGGCCAAAGTTTCCCCACACCTGGGATGGTGAATAAATCATCCATCTTGCTATGTCCAGCTCCCTGTTTTGAATGAGAGTTTTCAGTCTTGAGGCATGGTCTTAAACTACAGAAGGATGCCATACCTTTTCTGATAGAGAAAGTTTTTGGTCTTTGTCATCCTAGCCTTTTGTCTTCAAACAAGACTTGCAAACGTAACTCTGGTTGCATATGTATGTTTGTGTGGGAGCAGCATTTTGTGACTAGCGTAAAGTCCTTACCAAAAAGACACAGTGAACTAATGTCCTCCATATCTGAAGTTTAAAGGTAAAGGTAAAGGGACCCCTGACCATTAGGTCCAGTCGTGACCGACTCTGGGGTTGCGGCACTCATTTTGCTTTATTGGCCGAGGGTGCCGGCGCACATCTTCCGGGTCATGTGGCCAGCATGACTAAGCCGCTTCTGGCAAACCAGAGCAGCGCACAGAAACGCTGTTTACCTTCCCGCTGGAGCGGTACCTATTTATCTACTTGCACTTTGACGTGCTTTCAAACTGCTAGATTGGCAAGAGCAGGGACTGAGCAACGGGAGCTCACCCTGTCACGAGGATTTGAACCGCCAACCTTCTGATCAGCAGGCCCTAGGCTCTGTGGTTTAACCCACAGTGCCACCCGCGTCCCTGAAGTTTGCAAACATATAAATGTTGAGGTGAGCCTTGAGGAAGCAATGGTGCTAGCAGTGTAAGAGCTTCAACCTTCCACATGTGTTCCTCTGACTCCTCCCAGCAACAGGGGAAAGGAATGGAAAGCCATGTGCTTGCAGGACTGCATGCTCCCATAGAGTCAAGCCAGTCTAAGACATTGCTCTCACACCACTTCGTCCCATCTCAGTCCTGTGCCAAGATGTGCTGCCTCTTTCCGTTTCTTCTCCTAAGTGGTTTGCCAGTTGAGCTGACCCTGAGAAAGGGTGCCTTTGGGCACACAACAGAAGCTGGGGTTTGAGCAAGCCAATGTTGTTGTTTCCCTGGTGTAAGGTGCAGATCTTGCAGTGAATATCAGTTTTCTCATCCTTGGGTTAACCTTTCCAGAGATGGACACTTTCCAAGGCTTGGGTTTTGCAAACTGATTTAGCCTGTTGGGCCACAGTGCCAGACTCTTTGGCTGTATCTGTCACAAAAGGCTGGAACTCTGCAGATGTGCAGCTATTTTCCAGCTTGCTTGGACTTTGGCTGGATATCAGAGAGGGCAATTCTGGGAAGAGTCTGTTGCAATGCGTTCCTGACTTTCAATGGGATCCTTTCACTCTTAATAAGTTCACCCCCTTACTGTCAATAATATCATTCACTGCCGAGGCACAAGCAGAAGCAGAGAGGTCATCTCTTCCAGCCCACTCCCCAGTGAAATAATATTTCAGGGAAGTGATATTCCACAGCGATAGGAAAGTCTGAGGGCTAATTTGGACGAAGAACATATTTAATTGGGGCATAGATGACAGTTACAGCTAAATTCTTCTTAATGAAAAGGCAAGGGGGGGAGTTTTCACTTTTCTCTTGCTTAGCAAAGAGTTGTGATCTGCTACCACACATTCCCATAATCTCTCAGAAAAGAAGCCTCCTCTTTAAGCTGGCTGTGTATAGATAAAAAAACCCTCGATCTGCTGGCTTAAACCCCCCTTTGGTGCTTTGGAAAGCACCATAGCTCACAGGTGGAGTATCTGCTTTGCATGCAAAAGATCTCTGTTCAGTCCTCAGCACCTCCAGGTAGGGCTTGGGAGGAAAACTTTCCTGGAATGCCATTACCATACAATGTTGGCAGTACAGAGCTAGATGCACCAATGGTATGACTCTGCATAAGGCAGTTTCCTATGTTCCTTTGTAAGTTGAGAGAAAGGAACGGGTATCGGCAGAAGCATAGCGTGTGTGGGGCTATTGGCCTGGATGCAAAATAATTTAGGGATACCACTGCAACTGCCATCCCAGCCGGAGGTGCTCCCCATCCCACATGCCTCACCTGATCAGCATGCCAAGCAGCAGCTGGGAGAGGGCGAGCTCTTACATCCCTCGGCCGTGCAACATCCCCAACCAGTGGGAGACGCGGGTAGACAGCAAGCCTTGTGGTGGAGCCCCAGCCCAAGGAGGTGCACACGCAGGTCCTGCTGCTCTTCCGCAGCTCCATCCGGCAGTATGGAGTTAGGGGGGGGCAGAATACTTTCCTTGCCCTGGGTGCTGGCATCCCATGCTATGCTACTGGGTCTCAGGAACAGGTTTGTACAGGGGAGAAACAGCTGTGGGTTGTAGCTTGGAGGCAGCCCCCAGGCTGCTGAGTGAAAGCAGCTGGGTTAGTTAAATCTTCCCAGTCTGTTGATGGTTGGAGCGCGTTACGCTTTGCTGTGGTTTACTTTCTCACATATACCAACAATCCACAAACAATTACTTTTAAATTAAATTATACCCTGCTGTTGCCCCACAGCAAAGGAGTTGCTCAAAGCAGCTTACAAATGCAAACATAATATTTCGGCCAGACTCGTGATACTTTAGCCATGCATTGTTTGGGCAGCTTGTGCAAGACGCTGGGTAGGTAATGGCAGAGCTTTCACACACACTTGTGATGCCCGGTGGATGATGTAAGGCTCATGGCTTCCTCCTTCCTAGCTGGACTGCCAACCCATCCTCCCCAAGCATGCAGGGCAGCTTTAAATGAAAGTGTCTCCTTCTGTCCACTGCAGAGCTTTCAAACAGTATTGACCTTCTGTTCCACTTTATTGGCACTTCACTCCTGCTCTTTGGGGGCCAGGCGCTATGCAGGTTAAAGAAGCAACTGCCTCTGGCCCCAAGTCAGCTGGATTATAAAAGAAGGAAGGGGAATGATTTTTGTGCATGGTTACGGCCAGAGCGTGGAACAGAATCACAGATCATTAAAATATGCTGTATGCTCTATGAAGTTTGCAAGCAGTGCTCTACAACGTGTACCAATGGGCTCTTGGGTCATTTATAGCTACCAGTTGCCCGCCTCAATCCCCAGCTGGTTTTCGATGAATCAGAGCACCCAACAACCATTGCCTTTTCATTCTGACACAAAGCAGTGAGCAGGAAGTGCATCTCTGGCAAAAGTCATGGTTGGAAAGCCAGTGGCAACAAAGGAAATTCTCATACGTTCTGTGTCATGAAATTCCTGATAAAATGGCCTTCGTTAGATTGTGCGCTGCTTCAGCAGAGACCTGCTATTTTTATTTTTGTTTTAAAAAGGGTTGGTGGAGTAGGAGGTTTGGTGGTACATAAATCATAAATGACCCTAACTCTCCCCCAAGTGAAAACGCTCCGATAGTTACAACAAGCCAGCGCTTGCAGCTTTCCACTACGGAGAGATGTAAACAAGGTTTGTAGTTAGGCTTGTCAATCAGTCTGTAGTTGTCTTTACTTGAGCATAAAAAAGGACATTTGTCACAAAGCTAGGAATGCTCTGTGTGTGTGTGTGTGTGTGTGTGTGTATGAGAGAGAGAGAGAGAGAGAGAGACAGAGAGAGAGAGAATGAGAGAATGAATAACACTATCTCTGCCCCTTTTCATCATGTATCCCATAGGCCAGAGTTACAAATCATGTGACTGTGCATTAATGTAGAGCGACACAGAACTGGAAAACAACCTACTGCTGTTGGCAATTGGTACAGCAGCTCCTGAAGCTAGCTAGCGGGCAAAGAGTTTGAATCTTACCATTGACCTAAATATGCCAGGGCAGTTGTGGTTACAGTGCCTTCAGATATGATGGCACCATTCACTAATTAGAGTCTCCTCAACAAGCAACAAAGGAACAAGAACCCAAAGCTCTGGATGTTTCCCCATTGCAACCCCCCACCCCCCAATAATGAATTCGTTATTTAAAAGCAAGAAAGCAACCCTCATTATCATATCTAGAAAATTACCCCCGCTCCCCTGAACCGGCAATTTGCCTGCCATGCGGCTCCGCTCCGACTTGCCCATTAATTACAGGGATGAAAAATCATTTAGAAGCCAGGAAAGGAAACTAATTGGATCTTCCCCCCAGTAAGAATTAATGAGAGGCAGAGAAGATATAACAAGGTGGGATCCAGAATCCATAGTCATTGGAGAGGTTCAAGGTCTGGTTTACCCTGGATTCTTGCCTCCCTCCCATCCTTTTTTTGTGTGCTATAATTTCCCTGCCCTTATAGTTCTAACAATGATTCCCCCTCCTTCTGTCCTGTGATCTTTACTAGCTGGGTCTCTCTCTCTCCTGTGCATTCACCATTTAGCTACACCTGACACAAGTGTGGTTCTAGTTGTGTTCTCTCTGGAAAACAGTGGAGTGTTTAGGAACCTCAGAAACATCTCTGGAAGCCGTTTTATGTAGGAGTCTGGGCTCCTGGTTTAACCCCCCCCCCCATGCTAGGAGGAGGGAGTCTGCTCCAGTGGGGTGAAGTGCCACGCTGTCAGAGTCTCGTGTCTTAATTGTATGCACGTGCGGCTAATCCTGCTCCTCACCCTGCTGAGATGACGCCTTGCATGTAAGGGGCTGCTTGCTCTGGGTATCTGGGTCTGTCATTTGTCTGCACTCTCACTACCAGAAGGAAATGGCTCCAGAGAGCCAGGTTATTCCCATTGTCTTCTCAGGGGCTTTGTTAGCCTCGTCCCCACACAAAAAGCCAGTGTAGCATGATGGGTAAAATGCCTGAATGGTGAACTGGCAGGCCCCCCAGTTCAAATCTCACCCCTGCTATTAACTCGGCAGGGTGCTCTTAGGCAAGCCATTCTCTCTCTCCTGCTCCTGTCAGCCCCGTCTGCAGTAAGTGGATAACTATACTGACCTGCCTTATAGGGCTGGTGCAAGATAATGCTCTCCAAAGTCCTTTGAACATTTGAAAGTGCTATATAAAGCATGTGAAGCACTGTTATTACTATAGGCTAGGCTGGAGATGCATCATCAGACCTCAGAGCAAAGCAACCTTCATGAGAATGTGACCGGGTGGCATCGGATAACATTTGCTGCTTTGGAGCCCTGAGACCAAGGCATCACTATGAAAAGGCTGTGGTTCTGGGCCATGCTGCCCATGGATCTGTGAGCAGGTTTTTCTTTTAGATCAGCCTTCCCCAATATGGCGCCCTCCACTTGTTTTCAAACTACTGCTTCCATCATCCCCAGATGGCAGGGCCATTGGCCATGATGGCTAGGAGTTGTGGGAGTTCTCAAAATTATATTGGAGAAAGTTGGGGAAGTGTGTTTTGGATCTAAACAACTCTGAAGCAGCTCAGTTACAATTGGAGGTGCAGTGCCGTGGCTCAGGGTATTGTTAAGGCATTATACCTCTTTGTTTGTCTTAGAGGGAGCGATTTAAGTTGGCATTGCAGAAGGGTTGCCTCTTCCAGTTCTGCAGCCCTGAGCCAAACTGGGGCCCCCATGGCCGCTTCTAAGTTTCAAACCAAAGGCTCAGTAGGTCTCCCTGCTGATGGATATCTCACGTGATGCCCAATTTGGCCCGCCGGATGGAGTTGGGATAGGAGATGGTTGCCCAAGATTTGGGCAGCGAACCATTACCTGCGAGGAGAGCTGCCACCTCTCCCTCTGTTCTGATTGCTGCCCTGTGCCCAGATCAGGTCAATGCATTAGAGGTGGCGTAGCTCCCAGCTGTGTCCTGACCTTCATTGACAGGAAAGTGCTGATGAGTGGGAATCTGACACTGGGATCTCGGGGGGACAAGATTCATTTCACAGTCCATGCAGCCAGGCTATCTAATTTCCTTTGCCCTGTGCATCTCTTAAGTCGCTCCTTGGGGACCACTGGCTCCACGAGCCTGCAAGTCTGGGGCTTTCTGCTACCAGGCACCGTGGCCGGGCCTATGGACAGGTAAGCCATGGCAGAGAATAATCCAGCTCCTACGAAAAACAGCAGTGACTCAATCACGGAAGAGGCAGTGTGTGTGAGAGAGCACATGTAACGCTATGAATAGTGTTCTGATTCAGCTAGACGGACACAGGCCTCCCACATACAAAGGCAGGCAGGCAGGCAGGCATGTGACCATGCTCACAAATTAAAATACACACAGACTTTGCAAGCACTTCAGTTAATTTCAAAATGGATGCACTCGCCTGTATTGTTTGTGTCTGATCTGGAGATATTTCTGTGTGAGCATGCTTGCTATTTGGTTTTCTCTGCTTGGGTGCACGTGTGATGATATCGGTGATGTGGTAATTTGCGCACTTCCCAGCTTACGAGGTGTGTGCGTGTGTATGGGGCGGGGGCGGGGAATGCAAGCTTCTTTATATGTCTGTTGCTGATCAGAACATAGGCAGCGGCCTTATACCAGATTCTTGATCCACCTAGCTCACTATTGACTGACTGGCAGTGGCTCTGTAGGGTTTCAGATATGGAACATTCCCATCCCATCCCTACCTGGAGATGCCAGGGGTTGAACCTAGAACCTTCTGCACTCCAATCAGATGCTCTACCACTGAGCTGTGGCTCTTTCCCTAAAGGATGAATGTGAGAAGTAGAACTTGTCAGCCCAAAGGTGTATAAATGTGTGTCTGTGTAAGATTATGATAGGATGCTAAGTGTGACAAGCTGCATGAAGATGGATACAGGGAAAGAGGCACTTACCAGGTGTGTGGCTGAAGTATATTAGTATCATTGGGGGCTGTATGTATAAAAAACAAAGTAGGAGCATAAGAGAATCTTACTTTGTGTCTAGTTGCATACGTGAAGGTGTGTGAGAGACATTGAAGGTGTGCCCAGTGGTCAGGGCATGCATTAATGGAGTCTGAGCAAGGCAAATTTATACTAAGCACACACATATGTGTGCTTTATGAAGCAGCTCATCGACCTGTGGGTTGCTCTTCCAGCGTGAAACCGTTCCATCATTACAACCTCTGTAAATCTCTTATGATGGCAGCTGACACCTACCCTGTCACATTAGGGTGAACAGAAGTGTACTACAAGGCCCAAACCAGAAGCCCTGAGTGGGGAGAAAAAGATAATGTGGCAAAGGCCTTGTCTTGGTCTCTGAGGTTGTGTTCATAGGCCCTGTTTGTGCCCTAGCAGCCATATCTGCCCTGGTTTGGAAAACTAGGACCACCTCTATGGCACAGAGCACCACATAGTGTCATTCCAGCAGATGACCATTAAACTAGGCAGATTTCTTTCTGCTTGGAATCCAGATCAATCCATTCCAGACCTTTGTAGAATTGGGAACATAGGAAGCTGCCTTGTACCAAACCAGGCCTCTGATCCATCTAGGTGAGTCCTGTCCGCATTGACCAGCAGCAACTCTGCAGGGATTGAGGCACAGTATGTCCCCCTCCTACCCGGAGATCAAACCTGGGACCTTCTGCATGCAGATACTCTACCACTGAGCTACAGTTCTTCCCCTTGCTCCTTGTCACAATAATGGTCTAAAGCTCAAAGCAAGGTTAATGTAAGTCCTAGCCAAAACCCTCTCCCCTTGGGGCTCTTGCCTGGAAGAGCTGCTAGCTGGATGCATCCGTTTTGCCTGCCTGTGTGGTTTGAGGTGGCAAGGAGTGAGGACTAAACAAAATGCCTCTTCCCTTCTTCTCCAAATACTAGGACTGTTGCCGGCTTAAGGAAACAATAGTTGATTAATCATGGATTGACCAGTTGAATTTGCATGTGAGTTGAGGAATTGCCCCAAAGCAAGCAAACAAACAAAATGCAAATCCTTGGTACTTGTTAGACGTATATGTATATGTTGTATATGCATATGTCGTATGAGGTGTCATTTTTTAAAAGAGGCATTCCTTCATGCACTCATGGCTGGTGGGGCAGTGCAGGTGTGGGGCTGTGTTGTTCTCCTGGCTTCTTAACACTGCAAGTCACTGCTGCTTACGGGGAAGGAGAGGGGCAAGGCAGTGGGTAGCTTGGCCAACCCAATAGTCCTGCTGCTGCACTGTCACCATGCTGTGCTCCCCATTGCTTTGTTCCTCCCATTGTCTTATCAGCTGCTGCTTCCTTCCTGTATGGGGAACGGGGATGATATATATAAATATATAAATGTGTGTGTATGTAGTGTGTGTGATGCTACCCACCTGCGTGTCTTATAATTACATTCAATTAAAAAGAAACGTGTTGGTTGCATGTTTTTTTAATTTACCCCCCCCCCACTTGCCTGATTAATCAGGGCATCTTTTTAGTCAATCAAAATAGTTTTAAATCAATTAAATGCTGCAGCCCTACTGCTAGCATGTCATCACCAGCACCTGCCACAGGTAGAGTCATGGAGAGAGAAGGAAGAAGGGCAACTCCCAGGAATGACTGGATAACACACAGGAAGGAAGGGCCTGCGCCCAACCAGTTTCCTTTGAGCAGGTGCCGATTCCCATTTCCTTTCCACAGAAAAACCAAACAACAGCTTGACACACCACACAGACAAAAGGAGATCCACATGCAGCCTCCTGACTCACCACAAGTGTGTCACTCACATGAAGTTGCCTTATAGGGACTTTGGCCATCTGCCCATCTACTTAGTACTCCACAACAGCAATGGCCAGTGCAGTGTGGGCAAATCTGTGGAGCTGCTCTCCTGACACAGGTGTCTACAGCTTACCTGGATGGGGATGGGGCACGATCGCGGCCACACAATCCATTACTCCCATAATGCATCCATGCTGCCCCAGTCCCGTCCAAATGAGGTGCAGTGACACTGGTCTCGGGAGGGCAGTTCCGCCTCTCTGCCGCACCGCACCAGCCCCTACTGCTCCAGGGACGATGTCCTCCAGATATTGTTGGACTGCATCTCGCGTGAGCCCCAGCCAACATAGCTAGTGGTCAGGGATGACGGGAGCTGTAGCCCAACCACCTTTGGAGGCCACCTTGTTGGCATTCATCTGTCTCAGGAGATGATGGAGGAGTGCGCCTTTGATGGTTGAAGTCAAACAGTTGGAGAATTACAGCACCTGCTGTGGCTGTAGAGACAGATATGGGAGAGACATGTTTTGTTGCAACCGGGGCAGGAGATGACGTCAGGTTGTGCTGCTGCAGGTGTAGCATGGTGTTTTTTCCCTCTCTATGCTCCTCCCAGGAGGATGGAGGGCATCGCACAGGCTGTTTCTGCTCTACTCAGGCTGCCAGTAACTCCACAACGCCTTAGGCAGAGATCTTCCCCAGCACTGCTACTTGAGATCGTTCCGGGGGTGAACCAAGGACCTAAGGCACACGAAAAGCCTGTGCTGTGCCACTGAGCTATGGTCTCCAAGCAGTCACACTTAAAAAAATAATCATCATGCAACTGTTCAGATTATTTCTGTTCCCTTGTTTCTGAGCCTGCAGAATGACAGTATTCCAGCTTTTCTCCACAGCTAGTGGGGCTTGAACACTAAAGTACCAGATGACAAAATTATGAGAATTAACACCCCAGTGGGAGTAAGCTTAGTCCTGCTGATAAAATGCCTTTGAATTTGAGAGTGAAGCACTGAAATCTGTTGCCTTTATTGAGAAGTGAAATTTTATACAAGTGTTTTCAAAGAATGATAGGTTCTATGGGTAAGGTTATATTTGTGCCAGCTATTTTTCAATGCTTACTTGTTTTCGCCGACTCCCACACATGCGTGGCGAGAGCCTTAGAGGGTTTTGCACACACTGCGCCGGTGAGGTAGTCTGATTCTACAGTATTAAATGATGGCACCAATTTGTTTCTTCTTCTTCTTCCAGCACTTCATTGCTTTCATATGGAACAATTATCTATTGCTCTTTGCTTCCTCTTTCCTACTGTAGGTCTGCAAATCAGTGGTGTACTTCAAAAGCCTCACTGGGTCTCTGCAAAGGGCAGAATTGTGTGCGCAGCATAATCAGGCAGGTCATTAAAGCAGCTTGACCGGCACAGACAATAGCTATTTTTTTCTGTCTAGGAAATTGAGCCAACAACTGTTTTTCAGAAGTCTTCTTTCACCTTTTCCCCAAAACGAGGACATTCCTCTTCTAGTTTCAGTTGCAGCCCCCATGTATCCAGAGGCTAACTCGATAATACAGATCGGAAATAACAAAGCAGTTTATTTTGTGTGTGTGTGTGTTTTTTAAAAAAAGGTTCTTAAGTAGCAGCAAAGCTAAGAAAAGATGTAAATTCCTAATAACAGCTAAGGCAAAACAGCTATCAATCACTTTGCTGAAAGAAACCATTCAGAGGGCATACTCCCACAGCTGGCAGAGCACTAAGATAGCTATCATCGGATGATACTTTCTGAAGCCTCATTTTGGTGATTCTTTGAAAAGCGAAGCAGGGGGAGGAATTTGCAAACACATCTAGCTAGATTTTATAACCAGAGTGGCAAAATGAATATGCAAATACACAAGAGTAGTCAATAATTTGCTTCTGTAATACATTTGTAGGTCTTGTGGGCATATCCAAGTATTAACAGCATCCCCAGTGCTATGTTACCAGGTAAAAGTCAGCTTGGACCAATAAGTTACTGTGGGTTTCTAAGCCTGTGCACCAGCTGTCCTTATTCTGTATTCCAGCTCATCTCCCTGGTTAAACCCCGACCTTCTTAAAAAAATAAATCTTTATTTTCCCTTTCAAGAGTGATTTTGGTGATTTCTTTTAAAAAGCCAGTGTGTGCATGCAGGTACCATAATCCTGTTAGGTCTCTCAGCTCCCTTCTCTGTGTCTCTAGACATTAAATATCTGAGTGGGGATCAATGTATCTTGATTCTTCTCTTCATTGAAGTCAATGCACAAAATTCCTCTGCACTGCTTCCCTTCTGTTCTTCGGTGTAATCTCATACCAAGAGAGTAAATGCTGCTCAATGCGTTTGAGTTTTGGGTATTCCATGATAAACACAGGCAAAAGAACCATTGTGAGATTCTTCTTGTTGTTGTTTTAAAAAAGGAAGTACTTATTTCTGGTCACTTTACTAACACACCTGCTTCAGAAACCAGGGCAATGCAGGTTTCAGCAGAGTCCATGAACACACCATATAGGAAGCAGAAGCAAACCTCCAGCAATGTGTAATGAGAGGGCAGAGTAGGACTAAGGCAATTGGCCATTAGTGGGAGAACAGGAATGTTTCATGGACACAAAAATATACTCGTTTGCATTTGTGAAATACTACAGGGTATGTGTAGGTAAACTCTGAGAGAGTTGGGGAAGGTGGGTGGGAGTGGTGGCTGCAGATGGAGGAGTGGGATTGTGGGTAGCAGAAGACCTTTCCTCTGATCTCCACCTGAAGGTTGTGTGTTGGACACAGAAGTAGAATCTTGGTGGGGACAGACTACCAGTAGCACATAACTCCAGTGCTTAAAAACTTGCACAGGTTGCCCATAAGATACTGGCCCAGGTTCCAAGGTTCTTGTGTTAATTTACACGGCCCTTATATTATACAAGGGATTCATTGGGCTGATTTGCGTCCCTTCCTTCCCTCTCACAGGCTACAGCCCCTGTTGTCGCAACCTGATGTGCAGGGATGGGATACCTGTGGCCCCCCAGATGTTGACAGCTACCATCATCCCTGTTCATTGGCTTTGCTGATTGGGTTGGATGGGAGTTGGAGGCACATGTTACCATCCCCTGTTGTAATGGCCGCCTGGGCCATGTCTTTGAGATAGTGGGAATAATATACTGTACCGTAGTTTAATGTGATGGGCATAGAAGGTACCAGGTTCTTGACATACCTGGTTACAAGTATCTCAGGTAGCAAAAGAGTCTAGAAAGCTGCAGTTGGTCAGAGTAATAGCAAATGCTGAGTTAGGTGAGCCTGGCAGTAAAGGACACGAGTGTCATCTATCCACAGCCTCCTTGCCAATTAAAACTGAAAGGCAGGTTACACATATTTTAAAGTAAATTAACAGAGCACTGTTTGTTTATCTTGTTATTATTATTATTTTAAAATTTTAAAATTGTGGTGCAGGTAGACAGATATAGAGTTAGACAGAAAGATATAGAGTTATTTATTTTTGTGTTGCTTCAGTGTGCACCTTATGTGTTAAAGTCGCTTCATGACTAAAATCTCCTGGAAAGGAGAAGAACCTGGGGTTGTTTGGGACATTTTTTATGCTTTAAGCATGAACTCAGCTGGGAAACACCGGACAATCTACTCTTAGCCACATAGAATCATAGAACTATAGAGTTGCAAGGGACATAGAGAGTCTCCTAGTCCAACCCCCTGCAATGCAGTCAACTCTGTTCCAGTAAACTGGGAATAAAAGCGCATAGCCCTCATATGGTTGCATGCCACCTGTTGTATGCTACTCTGGAATCAATTTGGAAGAAGGGCAATTCAGAAATATTTTAAGTAAACAAATGAAATGGTTTTTGTGAGAATGAGCTTTTTAAAATAATAATAATAATAATAATAATAATAATAATAATAATAATAATAATAATGTGCTCTACATGCTTACAGTCAAATAGAAGTGATTACTAATAAATTGGTGGTTCTTCCTCCAGGGTTTTGGATTGAGTAATTTTGGCTCCTTCCCAGCCTGTTAGCAAAGGTGTTACAAATAGGAGATTTTCCTTAGCCTCAACTGGTTTCTCATTATGGCACTATTTTTAGCTCCATAATGAGGCATACATGGCATTAAAAATACAATTGCAAAGTTGCCAAGCCAGGATCCCCCACCAAAGACTGACAGTCCTATGATGGCTCCCTCATACTGGGGGAATAATCCACACAAATGTGTCCTTATGCTATAATACGTACTAACACCTGATTTATTCTGACATAATTATGTTTCTACGTCTTCAAATATAGTTCTCAGGAGATGGGAGCGGATTTTTTGTTTGTTTGTTTTTGGGTTTTTTTTAGTGGAAGAGCAGCTGGGAGAGGGTAGTGTTGACTCCTGTCCACTCCTGCAGCCCTCCCCTGTTGCTTTTCTCTAAGCAGAGCACATTTCCAGTCACGAGGGCTATATCCAGTGCTCCATGCATGTAGTTCTGCTGGCACAATGGGACTTCCGTATGCTCTGTTCTGGAGGGCCCCCCAACCTCCCAGAGCCATTTTTCAGCTCAAAACAGTCATCTCCCACACCTCTTACTTTACATGTGTTTGGCAGCAATCTGTATTTTAAGAAATGGGATCTACTGCCATCAGGTCAAGGGTGGTTTGTAGGGTGGAGTTGGCCTCCCCACCGTGGCCACACTGCTGCTTACTGGGATGGTGTGGAGGTGCATCAGCGAGGTAGGAGCAACATGGGCACACCATTGGGATTGCCATCTTGGGTGCACCTGCGTCACTCTGACCTCACCATCACCATGCTATCCCGGTAAGGAGCAGCAATCCCGCAGCACTGCTGTACCCTGCCAACAGCTGCTGCATCAAGTGCCATCTTGCCCTAATTCCCAGCAGTAAGTGGTAATGGATTCTTTGGAAGGGTCAGCCAGAGACGGATGGGAGACTTCATTGCCATCAGGTAGCTTGTTTTTCAAGGCTGGCAATCATGCATTCAGGAAGCCTGACTGGCTGCCCTTGTGTAGGCTTTCCTAAGAGGCAATATGGACAGAACCACTTCAGACAGCAAATGGAGGGGTGGAATATGGGTACTCAACAAAGCACCCAACAATGAGTAAAAAACAAGAACAAAGCAAAATGAAAAACCCATCCTTTCAGCATGTTAGGCTCTAGCCTTCCTTTGGACACATTAATTTAGCATGTACAACAAGGTTTTATTTACATCAGGGAGGGGGATTCTCCTCAATCCCTCACTTGCCGCCTGAAATGGTATAATCCAGAAACAGTGATGTGGCAGCTGCCAATGGTTTGTTTTGCCTCTCATGTCTGGTTCAACAAGAAGTTGGGAGCCAGTTTGCGCAAAAGCTTTGCTTGCAGGGAGTGGTCTGCTCATTGCAGCTGGTGTGCAATGCCAGTGAAGTATGCAAGATCTTGTGCCCCTCCTTCTGTTATCCGATAAATTTCAAGTTGCCATTCTCCATTTCACAGAAGGTGAGTCAACGATCTCATCTCGGTTCATGCATGGCACTGCTCACGCAAACCGATCGCTCATGGGCAGAGCTTTTGTGCAAGTTGGCCTCCAGCACCTCACTGGAATTAACTTTAGAGCTGCTGTCCTAAACATGCTTACCATGGGGAGTAAGCCCCATTAAACTCAGAGGGACTTAAGGTTTCAATCAACATTCATAGGATTAATCTGTAAGTCTTTTCTGGACCCTGTTTTAAGAGCTGTTTAGCACATTGCGCCATTGAAGCACCAGCTTTGCCAGAATGTAGACTCAGAAGTAAGGAGCTGCAGCCAGTCCTGGCTTGCTGGTGAGTGTGCCTGGGTGATATACGAGATCACCATCTTCATCTTTTAAAATTTCAAGTGTCTGTTTGAAACACCATATAATCACATTTTTAAAAAATAGTGCATGAGGCGGCTCTTTCCACTTCAGAGGGGTTGTTGTGTTCACCTGCCACTCTCCATCTGCACATGCCTTCTTCCTGAGCTTGGAAGCTGTGCTCAGGTTCATGCCTGATTGCCCCTCCATGATGCAGAGGCTGACTGGGTGCACTGGCGGAGGAAGAGGAGTGGGGGGGAGCAGCACACCACCCCCGGCAGCGCGATCCCCAGGGTGCCATCCTGGCTGCCTCCCCCGCCCACTGCGCGCACCACCCTGGGACACATGCCAGCCCCGCCCCCACCTGCTCTCCGCCCCCGGTGCCGGAGCATGAAGCTCCTCCACTGACTGGATGTCCTGACACTGTCCGGTGGCAACTTGGCAGAGCAGAATTGAAGGTACCGTGGAAACTGCATGGTTAGGAATGCCAGATATCTTGAGGAATGTCAGATCAGGAAAGATACTGTGCCAAGGGAAAAGCAGGGGCTCTTCAGGGGTGGCAGCTGCATTGTAATGGATGCTAATTTTAAGGTTTGAGAGCAAGCCCTACAGTTCGAAATATTTGCATGCAGCAACGGGGGACGTAAAAACAAAATGCATCTTGATTAATCTCTGCGTTGGAAAACCAAGCCACAAATGTGTTGCAGCTGCAAAGAGGGCGCTAGCATCAGTTGGCTATATTTGGGCATGGTCTGCCCAATAGGAATAGCTTAAGGGAGTCTTCTGGCCTTCGACAAGGCACTGGGTGAAGCCCACATACAGCATATTGTTTCTTGATCACCTATGTACAAGAAGGGATGAATTCACAGTAGGAAAAGTGCAAAGGTAAGCAATTGCTGTGATTACAGGAATGGATCGTTTATCTTATGTGGGGAGATTAAAGAGCTTGCCCTGTTTGACTTAGAAAAAAGAAAGAAAGGCTCAGTGGATATATAATAGCAACTTTTCTGTAATTATTTGCAAGGCTGCGCTGTGAATTTTTGTTGCCATCTAGTTATTGCTTCAGGTGCAGCTCATGCCTTCTCCCAAGGCCTCCCTTCTTTCCCTGAACATTGCAATTGTAGAACTAGAGCCATGTTTTCAGGAAACTCCCCAAAGTTTCCAGGGAACTAACTGACCGTGTCATATTTGCGGTTAGGAAGAAGCTTTCTCCTAGGCAAGAGGGGCTTGTAGGTTGGCCCCAGAGAAGCTGCTTCTCCTTGCAGCACATAGCCTGGTTCAGTCACTTGGATCCCACAGACCTGTTTGCATTTCCACAATCCGTCCTGCAGAGTTCCTGGTTTCTGCTAGTGGTGCACAGCAACCCAGAGTGTGTAGGCTTATTTGTGAGGACCTGGTGGTTGGGTGGCTATGGCGAGGAAACTTGATCTAGGCTTTTGTTTCTTTCAATCTAGGAACATAGGGAGCTACCTTATATCATGCCGGACTGTTTATTCATCTAGCACAGATTGTTTTATTCTATTGGCAGCGGATCTCCAGGGGCTCAGGCATAGGTCTTGCCCCTTCTCACTTGCTCCCTGCCCCCTTTGGCAAGGATTGAACCTTCTGCATGGAAAGCCACTGAGCTTGTGGCCCCTCTCCTGTCATTCTGTGGTCTGCTGCAGGGATGGGGGTCAGGAATGATTGGAGTTGTTGTCCAACCACAACTGGAGGGCCCCAGGTTAGCCACCCCTGTTTCAGTCATTAATATTTGTACATTTTTGCTCTTTTTCTGTCTCAGAACATTTTGCCCTTGCCATCCATCACACCTTTCCTGCTGCAGGAGTCTCTCTCACACATGTACTCTGCGCTCCAGTAAACTGGGCATCAGAGGCGAGGACTCTGTGAGTTCTTTCTCATAGCAGCCAGACACAGGAAGTATTTTTCATTCTTTAGTTTCTCTCGAGAGCTGGTGGACTTGGCCTTCCCTATGTTCCCAGGCATGACAGGAATACAATGCACTGCTGAGAATCTAGAGCCCTTTGACTTCAGCCTCCTCTCAAAGAAATAATGCAGTGTGCCGTCAACCCAGACTCAGACTCACACTCAAAGAACAGCAGACCTTGAAATAACCTAACAATGTAGAAAGGTCTGTGTTGAGGCTTAAGGAGGACTGTCCACAAGGTTGGGAGAACATCAGCTGAGCTGAGGAAAACCTCCTCCTAGTCGTCGTCATAGCCCTTCTCCTTCTTCTTCCCTGCCCATCTGACTGTGTCGCCCCAGCAACAACACATCAGAACATTAAAAAGTGTACCAATACAGGGCTGCCTTCAGTTGTCTATGAAAGGTGGTATAATTATCTCTTTGACATCTGACTGGAGGACCTTCCATAAGGCGGGCATGACTACCAAGAAGGCCCTTTGCCTGGTTCCCTGTAACTTCATTTCCCGCAGTAAGGGAACTGCCAGAAGGTCTTCAGAGCTGCACCTCAGCGTCCAGGCTGAATGATGGGGGCAGAGACACTCCTTCAGGCATACTGAGCCAAAGCTGCTCAGGGCTTTAAAGGTCAGCACCAACACTTTGAATTGTGCTTGGAAACATACTGGGAGCCAATGTAGCTCTTTTAGGAACAAAAGAAGCTGCCTGGTCCACCTAGCTCGCCCTTTCTTAACCTTGGGTCCCCAGATGTTGTTGGACCACAACTCCCATCATCCCTGACGACTGGCCCTAGACGACTAGCTAGGGATGAAGGGAGTTGTAGTCCAACGACATCTGGGGTTGAGAAAGGCTGATCTAGCTCAATATTGTCTGTACTGACTGACAGCAGCTCTCCAGGGTTTCAGACATTCTGCATGCATTGAGCTATGGCCCTTCCCCTTGGAGAGCTCTGTAACGAGGATATTATAAGAACTGGAAAAATGATGGTAAGCACGATTGTATCTGGAGTGACTTGAGCACTTTAAGAAATGCATTATGCTGCTGCTTCCTACCTGGCCCTCACTCTGTATGCAGAGTATGTTTCAAGCAAAGAGAATACCATCCCCCCACCCTGCCTTCCCCCAGCCACCCCTTTCCCAGACAGTGCCAGATCACTCAGTTCCAGCTTTCAGGGAGCTGTAGGTCTTCTGTGGATTTATGATTCTAGTGCCTCCATGCAAATGAGCTATGAGCAAATGCCTTTTCTTGGCGCAAGAACTAATCTGCGGTAGCACCATATCACCCACAACAATGGTACCACCGAGCTGACAAGGAAATTTAGCATCTGTTGTGTCCCAGCTCCATTTCGGCCTGTTAGTGAGAAACGCTCCTTCAGGCAGTGGTTCCAGCAAACATAAAATCAGCCTTCATGAGTGCCACAGAAAATGGAGAGGCTGCAGAACTGAAACGTGCAAGGAAATAGACCTGGCCCTGCCTTATTTTAAGCCTGAGCCCCTAGCCTCTGGCGCTCTCCTGCTATTGCCAGTGAACAACATTTTTTTTAAAGTGTCTTCAGTGAGCTGAGGATGTAAGCAGTCATAATCTTCGCGTTTGTAACCTACGTGAGGCAGGGTGGTGGGATGCGAGAGAAAAGTAAGGGATATGATAAATAAATAAGCTTTCAGGTGTTCAGCCCCCCCCCATGTGATTCACACTGTATGAGGGAGAGAGCATGGATGTGCTGGCTGCCCCCCTCCCATCATGTCCCCACACCTGGCCATGCTGCCCTCCACACGTTGGAAGACAAATGCCTGCAGTGAAGAGCTGTGCTGCGTTTGGGGACGCTCCCAGTGTAATTTAGGCTTCCAGTGCATGGAGGTCAGCAGGGCTAGGCAGCAGGATAACCAGGGAAGGGAAGGGGCCATCCCTACTCTGTCCCTACTCTCCCCCATGCAATTCTAATTGTTGAGGGGACTGACTGTCCCAATAGGCCTGTGGTGGAAATGGAGTTAAGCAGAGGAGAGGCACTGGAGTGTGCAAGCGGCAGGAGTCTTAAGGCGGTTCAGTAAAAGGCATTGCTGGGTTTTGAGGAGCTACTTGATAGAGGATCGGGAAGTGGACTGATGAAGAGGAAAAGGGAGGGAGGCCTGTTTCTGGCAGAGGAAGCAATGTGGGCAGGAAGGCACCCAGCGCCCCCACATAAAGTGTTGCCACAGTGTGTGCAGTTCTGGTCACTCCATCTTGAAAAGGATATCAGAGAGCTGGGAAAGTGGCAATTCAATAAATCAGTCAAGGCTTTGGAATACCCTTTCTCCGAGGAAAGGCTAAAGAGTCTGGGGCTTTTTAGTTTTTGCTTTAGTTAAAAAAGAAAAAGAAAAAGATGACTGAGCATGGACTTGACATTATATAATTATGAATGGTTTGGAGAGAGTAGCCCCCATCTTCCTCTCTCATAATATTAGGACAGACAAAATGAAGTACTTCACCCAGTGCATAATTAACTTATGAAATCCACTACACAAGATGTGATGGTGGTCATTATCTTAGATTGTTTTTTTAAAAAAATATAGACAAATCCACCAGTGATGGTTCTTTTAACAGCTATTACCTATGTTATTTAAACCAAACCTCTTGTGCATTATTATTATTATTAATTACTATTACTGTTATTTTTTCTAGTGTTCTTTGGGAGTATAGCTTTGGGCACTGGGTGCTGGGGACAAACAACATTACATTGAGTTAAGGGGCTATCCATCCCCTTCATGACTGATCCCACGGTCGTAGGCATGCATACTCAGAAGTAAACCCTAAGTCATTCAGTTTGGTTTCCTCCCATGTAAAGGGTGCTTAGGATTGCACCCTTACAGAGCAATCCTAACTAGGGCCAGAGAAGATGGGAGTGCTGAAGTCGCTGCCACATCCCAAGACCTGCTAGCTCTTGCTAGTCAGGACAGAAGGAGATGGGGCAGGGTTGTTGTTGTTTTAGTTTCCATTTTACACTCTGCCAGCTCCAGGGCTAGCACAGCAGAAGGCCTCAGGAGATCTACAGGGTATTGGATCCCCTGGATCCAAGGCCTCAGTGCCAGTGTTAGAAATTCAGGTATATAAGCTAGGCACCAAATGGCTCCTTAAACCAGGGTTACAATTGCCAAAACAGTATGTTCAGTTGCCATTTTTGAGCAAGACAGCCCTAAAGTCTTATTTTTCAAATGTTCAGATGACAACCTTCATCTGGGTTAAAAACTTTGAGAACTTAAAGAAGAAATGTCACTCTATCGAGGGAAAGTCCACATATATATGTGGCCTATTCCCACAGCATGTGATATTAGTGTGTGAACACTGTCCAGATCCAAGGATCCCCTGGCATGCACCTCCAGATGTTGGAGATGACAGGCACCACCTTGGCACCGAGACATCTTCACTTGGTTCCAAGTGGCCGATAATCAGGTGCAGAATGTGCCTTGCGTCTGACTAGTTTTTGAACACTGCCAGCGCCCTGCCCTGAAATGCTGTCTTTCAAGACTTTAAAGCCTGTGGGAAACCCACTGGGAGAACCTTCCCACTTGCTTAAACAGAGCTTGGGTCTCTGTCAAAGTGAAGATCACCTGCCCTCCATCAGTGGTGCTCCTCTCTGCTAGCTGCGGCTAGAGCTCCTGGAGGTGTCTGGGTGTCCGCTGCTGGAAGCAAAATCCCAAAGGAGGTAGAATTCCATTTTTGTAGAAATGGAAAGGAGAAAAAGAGTTAAAGTGGGCTTGGAAACATTTGGGGTTTGTACAGAGAGTGTACATTGGGAGTGAGTAGGGACAGGAGTGGAGGCTTGGACAGCTTTCAGCATAAGGACTAGAAATGTGGGGTTCATGCAGAGAGTTATAGAGACTCTAAAGTAGGCATATAGAAAGAAGTGGTAGAGGCGAACAGCAATAAGCTTCACCCTCACTTTGAAACTTTGCAAGCATCCTGTCCTGTCCCCGCCCAGTCCCACCCAACCACCTACTGCCTCTGCCCCCCAATTTCTACCTGCAGCGCCACTGCCGTCTTAGCTCCCATACTGGCACTCCTAAATCCTGACCTGCTGGAGCCATTTTTAAGCCTGGGGTTAATTGATTTGAGACCATCCCTCTCTTTTGTCCTTTATTTACTACCTAAAATCTCATTAAAAATAAACACAATGGAAGCGGAAAGGAAAAGCTCAAGGGGCAAAGTAGCAACACCAGGCATTATGAAGCAGTGGATTAAAAAGAACACAGCAAAACAATTTCCTGATTCTTATGTAGCAGAGCAGAGCTGCAAAGCTTCCACCTAGGAGGGGAGCCATCCCAGTGTGAGACGCTGTTGCAATGACACCACAGCCTGCGCTTGAAGAGAGACCGAGACAATGGCGACTTCAAACCTTGCCCACAGACTGCAATTAAATCTCCAGATTCCCTTTCTGGATCTCAGTGTGTGTGAATTTCCCAACGCAAATGTCTGCCAGGAAGGGCCCTTCATGTATCTCAGAGGGACCATGAGTCACTCAGCTCCCATGCATGTGGGCAAGATTACTTTTATCTCCTGGGCTGCCTTTAAACAAAATCCCATTCTGCTTGCTGCAGGGAGGCAGTCATTTGTTATATTTTATTTATTTTAAACCACTTCTGCACCGCCTTTCTCCTTTAACAAAAGCACTCACGGGAGCTAACAAAATTAAAAGTCAGATATAAACATAAAATCAACAATTGAACCACTAACATTAAAGCAACAACTACGATAGCAGCAAGAGCTTAAATACCAAAAATCAGCAAGGAGGCACGGGAGGAGGAGGAGGAGAAAAAAACTAACAGTGTCAGAATCCGGCTAAGAGCCCCACCTCACATGCAAGAAGAGGAGAGGAGAAGCAATGAGGTGACATTACCTTCCTGAGGAAGAACCTCCAGAGCTGGGGTGGGGAATGTATATCCACACACCCTGATGTTGCTGGACAATAACTCCCACCGTTCCTGACTGTTGGCCCTGCTGGCTGGGGACTCATGGGAGTCCCACAGCATCTGGAGGGCCACAAGTCACCCATCTCTACTCCAGAAGCTGGGTACCATGATTGAAAAGGCTGTGGTTCACTTCATGTCAGATGGCGGGTGAATACCAAGCAGGGCCTCAACAGAAGGCCAGAGGGAACAGGTGGGCTTGTATGGGAGGAGACGGTCCTTAAGAAAACTTGAACCCAGGTCACTGAAGCAGGGGTGCCAACTTGAATAAAATATTGGGGGCCCCAGGTAGGCCTCGCCTTGCATAATCGATCACATGATGTGGTTGGTGCACATGCTCCATTTGAATGGCAATGACCATCAACTTTTGGGGGGGCCTGGTCCCTTCAAATATTTTATTGGGAGGGGTGAAGCCCCCTCAGCCCTAGGAGTTGGCTCCTATGAACTAAAGGTAAAAGCCAGCACCTTGAATTGGCTGTGGAAGCAACTAGGAAGCTGAATTGAAATATTATTATTATTATTATTATTATTAATAACAATACTAATACAAACCTTGAGTGGAAGGGACACCTCTTACAGATCGAACTGCTATATATGGACTTGCATTAGCTCTCCTTGCTGGAGGAGCCTGCTTTTCTCCCAGTTGTGCCTTTGCCTCTGGAGAGGCTCTGGCTTAGAGAAAGGGCTGCTCTCTGCGTCTGCAAAGGTTCTGGTTGCTGTGGCCCAGGGGTGGAGAATCCTTTCTCTGCCCAAGGGTGACATTCCCTCTTGGCCAACCTTCTAGGAGCCAGATCTCGGTGCTGGGCAAGGCCAGAGGCAAAAGTGGGCAGAGCAATGGGCGTAAATTTAACCTTTACACAAGGTTAAATTTATGCCCATTGCTCTGCCCACATTTGCCTCTAGAGTAGGCTAGTTTCTGCATGCACGCCATCCAGGACTGCAAAATGCATTATTGGGGTTTGGGGACATGTAGGCCAGGCAAAAACACGCAAGGAAGGTAGTCAGGATCCTGAGAGCCAGAATTTCCATCCTTCCTCTAACTCACCAAAGCACTAATCCAGAAAGGATCAAACATTGCCTGTGTATGATTCCTATGTGTCCCGTCCCCCCCCCCGCCCCCGAGCCACTTGGAAAATGGCATTACCAGAGTCAAGACAGATCCATGCCAGTTCTCTGATCTCCTCAGTGCAATGTTAAAAAGACCCTTTGGGACACTCAAGCCACTTCACAACACCTTGTGGGTGAAAGAAGCACCTCTCATCATCAGGGAAATGCCCTGTTAGTTTCTTGGGGGTAGGATAAAGATTCACATTCTAAGAAGGGCAGGCCATACAAACATGCAAGCCAGTGTGGTGTAGCAGTTAGAGTTTTGACTAGGACCTGGGAAACCAGGGTTCAAATCCCCACTTGGCTATGAAGCTCCCTGGGTGACCTTGAGCCAGTCACTGGCTCTTAGCCTACCTCACAGGTTTGTTGTGGGGACTAAATGAGGAAGTGGGGACGACACATCTTGAGCTCCTTGGAGAAAAAGGTGGGATATAAATGCAATATATAAAGAAATAAGTCACACACTCCATGCAAGGGCTAAGAATCCAGCCTCCCTTCTCCACTAGCCCTCAAATATTTTCCCCAACCCACCTGCCCACCTACAGAAAATTCAGGGGAAATCCTGACTCTCAGTCTCATCATGCTCAGCCAGATTGTGCCTCTCCCACTCTGATCCAGTCCTTGAGATGGCTTTTAACACGCCAGTAAGCTAATCGGCATTTATGCTGTCATCTCAGTCATCGCTGGAGTCGCAACTACTGTTTACGCCACCAGCTCTGTCAGTGGACCTGCTACCCAACTGCCCCATGCTTAATTTTAATTTCAGGTAGGAGTAGCTGGTTGATGCAAAGGTGGTGCCTGCAAGCGGGATGAAGACCACATAGTTGACTTCTAATTTTACATGTTGTGGCTCTCCAATGTCCATCTTCCTAATGGCTTATTATTTAAGTAAAACAGAACCAAGTAGTTTGGGTTTTCTGAGTAACGAACGGCAAACATTTTTTATATTTAAAAATGGAATTTTTTTTAGAGAAAAGGGAACAGAACACAGAGTCAAGCATATATGAAGAATACAAAATAGCAAGATTGCTTAGCTGAAGCTCTGATTTAGCTGCAGATGGAAAGTGCTATTGAATCAAAGCAAGGTACTTGCATGACGATGTTTTTATTTGTTTGCTTTTTGGGGCAATCCATTCTTATGGAGCAGTAGTTCTTCTCCAAGAACAAGTTACAGTTTCTTTGAGGGGAGATACTGCATCAGCCTCCCAAGCTGCTGCCATCAGCAAGAAAAACGACAACCCATAACCTGGATAGTGGAGTTTGTGTATGTATATATAGCCTCTTTGTGCACTTGATTGTAGTTCCGTTGTTGATGTGGCTGTTCATACTTCGCATCTTGCACTTTCATTATTTTGCCATGAAATGAAGTGAGTATCTCATTTACTGCTCTTCTTTTATCACACAATCAAAAGAAAACATGAAGAGTAACAATTGGAGAAGCCCATATTTTACACTGTGTTTTCCTCTCCCTGTTCCTCTAGCCACTCGTGGCTTGCAAAAATCGCATATTGCTGCTCTGTCGGTTGTTCTCAATGGACGATACTACCAGCATTAAAATGCTGCACTTTACACTTATTTCTGACCAGATTAATACATCCACTTATGAGTTGGCAAACCTTCTCCGGAGCTTGGCTACACATCCTGCTTTCTGGGATTACATCTTTCCCACTCATCTATCTTTTTATTTTTGTGCTCCTCGTACACATAGACTGTTCCTGGGCTGTTGTAATGAAGATGTTATTTGTTCTAGAATTAGAATTAGCACATTTTGATAGCTGTATTTGCACAGCGCATGCCAAACCTGTGCTTAAGGTTTGGCATATATTGTGCCAGGGAGCCGTCAAAATGAGATGTGAACAACACCAAACAGCGCACTTGCGTTCCAATCCTTGGCCATTGCCAGTCAGGTGTGTTTCTCTTGATGCCTAAAGCTGTTTGTTCAAATGAACTGTTAGCACTGGTTCAACAACTTATAAGTCCCTAGCAGGGGAGTAATACCCTCATTGCTGTCCTCTTTCCTCGTGTGAACATTCATATGGAAGGAGGGTCCATTCTCCCCGCTTACAGAAGTGCCTCTGTTCTTGGTACAGAGGGTATGCCTACTTCCTCTGAGGGAATCTCTGGGATATGCGACTTCACTGAAAGCTGTCCTACTTAGGAAAAAAATACCATACTCCCTAATACTGTGTACGGCTATTCTTAAAACATGTATGAGCAGTACCATAGTAATATATTCATGTCTGTTTGATAGCCTCGAGGGCAGAGATGGCCAATGTGGTGCCCTCAGTCCCATCAGTCCCACCCAGCGTGGTCAATGGTCAAGGGTGATGGAAACTGCAGTCCAGCAAGATCTGAAGGGCACCATAAGGAGAATTACTTGACACCATTTCGGCTATATTATTGTGATTGCATTCACAGGAGGCAATGGCTATTGTTTTCTCAGGTGTTTAGTTTAAGGTGCATTGTGCATGTTCACACTCCTGTCTCAGTGACGCCTATGCTGACTTGGTCATGTTGGCAGGATGGAAGATTGCAGGATCCCCAAGGACATGCTCTGCAGGGAGCTGGTTTCTGGCACCAGGCCCATTGGAGGACCAACTCTGTGTTACAAAGATGTCCGAAAATGTCATGTGAAGGCTGGCGACATCAACCATGCCATGTGGGAATGCCTTGCAGATATCGCAGTGCCTAGAGGCAGACAGTCAGGTCATGCATGCATAACAGTGACCAGAAGAGGAATGACCACTGGAAGGAGTGCAGAGATGCAGGAGTGCAGACACACCATGATACATCTGCAGCAGCAGAACCGGACACCTTCAGCTGCCCCAGCTGCAACAAAGCATGTCTCTCCCGTATTGGTCTCTGCAGCCACAACAGGCATTCCAACACTTTGACTTCACCCGCAAAGGCACATTCCTTCATTGTCCCCTGAGACAGACGGATGCCAACCCAGCTGTCCAACCCAGCTGTGCAACAAGACGTTTCAGGAGTATATCATGGCTGCTCAAACCATGCCTGTATTCCCACAACAACCTCGTTTTGAAGGCTTAGTTTTCCTTGACTTTGTTCCAGCATGTCTTTCCCTAGCACCAAGAATCAAACAAGTGCCTCTCATGTGATCACAACGCTATGCCGAATGAAGACGTCTACATATGAACTACTAATGTAGTTTCCACATCAGTAAAAATAAAAGCAACCCGCAGATAGTTTTGGCAGGAAATAAATTTGGTGAGAAAATAGGAGGAAAAACTCCAGGTGTTTGGGGGAAAAGGGTTTATTACAGGCCCCAAGCATTTCAGAATGATCCTTCCTCGAGGGTAGGTTTTAAGTAGCAATTCTCACCAAGTTCATAAACCATTATAGCAACTAATTTACCAAATGAGTTACTGTAGTGGTTTATGTACTTGGTGAGAATTCCTACTTAAAACCTGCCCCCGAGGAAGGATCATTATGAAAGACGTAGAACCTGTAACATCCCCTTTTTCAAGCACCTGGGGTTTTTGTTCTCTTTTCCTCCTTTTTAGTGGTGTCTTCCTGGTGTACAGGTGGTTTTTCTATAATTTTTTGGGACCTGGACACATTTCTGTATTAAAGTTGAGTATGCAACAAGCCATCGTTAAAGTTGATGTCAGAGCAGATAGCATTTCTAGAGGATAAACGACGATCTCTGTCCCCAACATGCCAAGACAGGATCAGCTTGACTGCTGTCGTACAAATGCCTAAATCCTACACTCAGTTAGGCATGTTTAAGCCCACTGAATATAATGAGCTTAAGCGTGCCTAAGATGGTGTTGGATCAGGGCCAATGACTCCAGGACAATGTCCGTATCCAAACTTGCTGAGTTTGTTGCACTTCTGCCATCTCGCCTTGCAGTTCTTCTGTCATCACAAGCAAGACCCTGAAGGGCTGGCAGAAATCTTGAGTCAGAAACAAAAGCCAGGCATTTTCCACCTAGTACCTCTTAGAAATTCCTTCTGTGTTGCTGGCATAAGCCATAGCCTGTTGGCTCTCTTGCTGCAAAATCTGCGAGCTAATAAAACACCTCGACAAGATTTTTCCACCTGTTCTAAACAAAAGATGGAAGAGCAGCCGTGCTGAGCACAACAGGTATCCATCCTTGATGTGGCTGCCCTATCAGTTTGTGCTTGTATAAACACAAACACACGCGCTTCTTGGTGTCAGCATGTGTAAACATTGGAATTATGGCAGGACCTGCCTGCTTATCAAAAAAGCCCTTGAGGAGCTGTATGGATAGATTGGATATGCCTCCTGCATTGCATGCAATAGCTAACTATCATGACATATAGCACTACTGGTGTAATTAAGTAAATCTTTGTATGCTAAAGGGGTTGTTGCAACTGCAAGGAACTGGAGGAGTGATTTGGTTCTACCTCCAGTGCAGTCCATAAGTGAAAAAGGAGGAGGTCTAGTAGCCCCAAGGAGGAGCACTCCGAGCCTGAGACGAAACTGGTCGCTCATCACAGCATCTCGCATTGGGTGGCCTACCTTACTGAGAACACTTCTCTATTTGAAGAACTGATAGTCCTCTCTTTGAATGCATCCTCTGTCTGGAAGGCAGTCCTGCCCCAATCCATTTTAAAGAACTCTTAAGAGAGAGCAACAGGGCCCCGAAGAGTCATATCAGCAGTTAGGACACGAGCAGCAGACTGAGGTCATCTGGTCACAAACTCCTGCACTATGGTGAGATGCTGGTTTCTGTTTAGATTATGGTAATTAGTTCTGCGTTTGCATCAATAGAAACCAGCCTGTGGACATTGGATGTAAGTCATGCTCCGGTGATGCATTTTCTCTTTTCTGGCAATGCATAAATAAGTGGCCATCCTAAATCTCACAGTCAAGAGATCATCTGCTCTACATTGACTGTGTGTGAATTCCTCCGTGTTCATGGGAGTCACCAAAGACAATAAAAGAACCACACAACACACACCTTGGCAAACGATCTGATCAGGTGACCATATAAAGCGACCTTCACTCCTTTTAATTTCCCTAAGGAGCCTGCTTTCACAGGGAAAGTGTCTAGATTCCAAGAGGAATCAGCAGTGTGCATGTGAGCAAATGAATTATCCAGGGACAGAATAATTCATGCTGATGAACCCTGAGCACAGTGATAAATCATCATGCTTGAGGGCACAGATGGTAATTGACGGTCAAAGGCCCTCTATCCCATACAAAAACTCATGCTCAAACCAATTAGGGTCACTTCACAAATAACTTAAAAAAAAACACACAGAGAGACCTCATTGTCTGGAAACAAGTAGTTATACCTGTGTAAACTACTATGTGAGTTGCACATCTGTATGTCTTCTCTGGTTATATATTTTTGGAAGCCACATTGCTTTCCACATGTGCATAAATGTGCATAATTGTGCTTAGCTAAATTGTATTTAGTTATTTAGACTATTGCTATAGTTCTCCAGGGCAGTGCATATGGAGGTTCTGGGCTGCCCAGACAACAGAATCACCCCTCTTGGCTGCAGGAATTGCCGGAAGGAGGCATACAAAACATCCTTCTTCTCCCAGATGGGCTACCTTTCCAGGTTGATGAACCCCATCTGCTCCTCATTTCCCTCTACAGCACATGCAGTGACTGCCTTATTGACTGTTGGTCCCACTATTGGTCTCATCTGTACCACCCTCCATTATACAAGTGATCACAAGGTGGTTTCCAACATGATATGAAAACAGTATAAACAACAATTAAAGCACAATCAGCAATAGAACCAGTCATCATGAAACAGAGCAGCATCAAATAAGACATGGTCTTTGACAATCTCAATTAGTTTTCTCCAAAAGCCCAGGAGAATAGATAGTGTTTTATTTGGCAATGGAATGCCAACAAGAATGTCATCTTCCACAGGTGGGGCACCACAACAGTAGGCCTTGCCCCAGAAAGCTATGCTTACTGGAGGGACAATGAGCAGGGCCCCAGGATCTGGGCAAGCAGATGTGGGAGGAGGTGCTCTGACAAATAGCTGGGCCCCAGACCTTTTAAGTCTTTAAAAATTGACACTGACTTCTTAAATTGAGTCCAGTGCAGGCAACAAGTGCAGATCCCATAAAATGACTTCCTGCTGAAGCACCTGTCAAAGCAACAGCAATCTTCACTGGATGCAGTTTCTGGGCTGTCTTCAAGGGAAACCCCATGTAGGGCACATTACAGTTATCTAGTCCCTAGGTGCAAAGACTGTCCTGTACCAGAAATAACCAAAGCTAGTGCACCAGCTAGAGATGGTCAAAGAGACTCTTTGACAACAAAACCACCTCTGCAGGAGTATCCTCAAACTAGGAATCCACTCCTTCAAGCCACCCAGTTTCTAAATATGAGAGCCACTCATTAACATGCCTCTATTTTGTTAGCAGACCTTGTAGCCTGGGTGAATTAGATTGGAATAATGATTTACAGTTTCTGGAATTCAAAGGCTTTATTCATGCAGAAACTACTTACAGGGTATTGGGAGTTTATCCCAACAACATTTGGAGGGGGGCACACTAGTCTGAATTCAGGATTAGGAATGTAATGTAATCTAAGTGTTAAACTAGGAGTTATATTTTCCTTGTGTGTGTTTTGTAGACCTTTTGCTTCAGCATATTCCAGGTCTTCTTTTGTAAACAGCATCCTTATTTTGCAGTAAATTGGTTTCTTAAAATGCTTCATCTGAAGCGAGCAAGCTATTCCTAAGGGCCCTGAGTACTCAGATTGAATGAATCCTAAATACTTTGGATGGATCTCAAGGAGTTCAGTGTTTAAGGTGCATTCCTCATTTCATCTGTCAGGCAACTCTACTAGTGGCAAAAGAGAAGCCTGATGGGCGGATTGACTGAATCAGAGTTCTGGCAGCCAGGTTTAATTGCATGGGCTTCAATGATCAAGGAAGCCACACTTTGGGTTCTGATTTCTCAAGAAAACATTGCAGGGTTCATAGTGTCATTTGCCTGTCAGAACAAGACCTGGGGCAGTGTATATATAAATTGCCACATAAGGGATCTTCGGTCTTGCCCCTAAAGATTTTGGGTCCAGTGTACATGTAGGTGCATGTGTGCGCCAGTCTGCCACCATTTCACATTATCTCTTCCAGGGTGGATTACAAAGTGAGAACAATTAAAAGAATAAAATCAATAATGCAACTAACCACAATAAAATTGCAGAGCTCTAAAAACATAAACCTGCAGCACGTAGCAGATAAAAGCCAAATGCAGCAGCGATGTTAAAAGGCATGGCTTATATTTGACTTGTGCCAAAAAGACATAAGAGTTGATGCCAGGGAAACAGTTGTGCCCACTGAGACTGGTAGGGCAGAAGGCAGGGCAGGCAACAGTAGGTGGAGCCAATGACAGGTGGAGCCAGCAAATTCTCATTTTGTCCCATTCCCTGCTGAGTTCTACAAGGGCAAACCTGAGACTGGAGGAAGAGGCTGGCAGTGCCCTGTTGGCTCTAATGAACCAGCCTCCACTACCAGGCAAGCACCACAACCGAGAAGGTCCTCTCTCTGTTAGTTCACCAGCAGACCCCACCTAATAAGCACTGAAGGTGAGTCAGCCAGAAAAGAGCCATCAAATGTGATCTTAGCATGTGGGCAGATTGATGTGGTCCCCGTATCCTAAGCCATATAAATCTAGGTAAGAACCAGGATTCTGAAATTTGCTTGGAAATGCACCATCAGTCAGTGGAGTGGTTTTACAACTTCTGCAGTCCCTGTTGGTAACCTGACTATTGCATTCTGCACTAAGTGCCATTTCTAAGCAATCTTCAAAGGCATCCCCACATACAACACATTGCAGAAATCTAATGTGGAGGTTACCAGAGCAAGAAGAAACCGAGGCCAGACTAGGTGCATCCACCAAATACGTTAACATAGCCATCAATGTTCACAGTCCTTGCTCCACCACGTCTAAATTTCAACCAAGGGAGTGAGAACCGTGGGAGGAGATAGTGACAGAGCCAAGCATAACAAGGAAACGTGCAAGGGCGGTTGCACTTGCTTAGGGTTAGTTTTATTGGGAGACGAAAGCTAAAGGGATGAACTAACACTGGCTTCCCCCATACTAATGCCCTCCAGCCCCAGCCACTGACAGGAAATCTGAAGTTTGGGAAAGGCTGAGCTAATGACTTCTATGGAAGAGGAATGTTTTAAAGAGGGATTTGAATCCATGGTGTGTAGAGGGAGAGAGGGATTAAATAATTGGGTGCTGGGATAGGTGAACCAAAGCACTCCCAGATGTTATAGAGTGTATGTAGGAAACCATGTGGGGCAGTTGGGGACTCTCTTGATGTCAGAGTCCCCCGTAATTATAACCACAAACCTAGAAGTGAACTTGTGAAGACCTAATTTTTAAAAAAAGAATACCCCTGATCATGAGTTTCTGGGCTGCTGTAGGTTGTTATTCTTACATTTTATAATCCTCTGTGATGCCTAGAAAAGTTACCGTATTTTTTGCTCTATAACACTCACTTTTTCCCTCCTAAAAAATAAGGGGAAATGTGTGTGCATCTTATGGAGCAAATGCAGGCTGCGCAGCTATCCCAGAAGCCAGAACAGCAAGAGGGATTGCTGCTTTCGCTGTGCAGCGATCCCTCTTGTTGTTCTGGCTTCTGAGATTCAGAATATTTTTTTCCCTTGTTTTCCTCCTCCAAAAACTAGGTGCGTCTTATGGTCTGGTGCATGTTATAGAGCGAAAAATACGGTATTTTCTAGGGCGCCTCATAAATATATTGGACAAATGAATAAATTGCTCTTCCATTAGGCTTTGTTTTCTCCACAACTGATACGATAGAGCCTGATGGGAAAGGGTTAAGCAACTCACTCTCTCTTTCTCTTTCCGCACTCCGTTGTCTCCTGATCACAGCCTCAGAGGCTCCTTTTCCTTTTTTAAAAAAAATAAATAAATCCAATCCATTAGGGGAAAGAGAAGTGCAACTTCATTTCATGTCTAGTTTGGTCCTTACAAGACTTGAGTCCCAGTGTGTAAAGTTAGGAACAACAAGAACAAATTATCTCCCACCCTATTGGGCTTCTTAATGAGCTATCGGTATTCAATGAATAGATCTTGGAATAATTTCCATAACGTGGTAGCATTGCACAATGTGTTTTTGTCACCAAAATGGGAAATAGAGTGTTAGGGCTTGTGTTAATAAAAACGGGCTAGAAAACAATACAGAAAATATCCGTATTGCTCTGTTCCAGCTCTGGCCATTAGCCTCACTCAAAGCCTAGTGATCCTGGATATGGATGTCTATTCCTGTCCACATCCAGTGGGGCCCAACTGAGCACTGCAGTAGATTTTAAAATATGCATCCAAATGTGGATCTGTGCCTGCATCAGCTGTATAGATGTGTCCCTGCTGTGCTATGTGGTTATATCTTGCTGGAGTATTTTGAGATGGTGCACAACTCAGCCGCTCTGCTTTAAAAAATGAAAGAAAAAGGGTGTAACAGAATTGGGAAAAGATCAGGCAAGAGCAATAAATATATATGCTCAAACCAAGAAGTGAAAGCTAAAGGATACCCCTTTTGTTTAGAATAGAGACAACTAAGCTTGTAGGAGATTTTGGTGACATACAACATTATGCATGGAACTGAGTGGTTTCCTTTTTCATTTAACATCTATCCACCAGATATGGTGACAGGCAATTGTATAATTGGTTAAAAAGGGGCCAAGACAGAGTTGTGGAAGATGGTATCAGCAGCTGTTAACTACGATGGTTAGGCCACTCATTTTGTTGCAGATGCTGACCCTAAACATTAGGCTGTCAGAAGCTGCCATTGATTGATAAGGACGTAACAATTCTGTTAGTATCCTTTGCTGTCAGGGGTGCCAGCTGGGTTCTCTGGAACCAGTACACTGAATGTGGATTGGGCCCTCTGACCCACTCACAAACGAGGACACAAAAGATTTGCATAACATTTGCATGTGCTGTGTCATATGCAAATTTGTATTCTCTTTTGCAGGTGAGTGGAGGGTCCAAAAATAAATCAGTGGCCATGCACATAATAAAATGTCTTGACAAGCAGAATGAGGATAGGGGAGGCTTTCCCCCATAATTATATTCCCATAGTAGAAAAGTCTTAAGCTGTTGAATTTCTGTCTGCCACACAGCTGTTAAGGTCACAAGAACCCTGCTTTCCCCCAATGCCAACCCAAAGCCTAGGCTGCAGTTCTGTAACCACTTACCTGGAAGCAAGCCCCACCTAACATGAAGCTTCTGTGTAGACATGTATGTTAACTGCACAGTGAATTCTTAATGGATGTCTGTAAGTCCTGCACAGCAGGAAATATGCCTAAGCCTCTATGCAAAGTTTTCACATTTTGCATTTGCTATTGGAAAGGGCTATTATTTTAACACCCACACCCACCTATTGTGCAGTAGTATTTGCAGATAGTAACTTACAGGGAGTGCTTGATCTCAGACGAACCCATCACAGGAAAGATGCATCCTGGTTGCTAAGGGGAGAAGAAGGACAAACTATGGAGATATCATGGACTACTTGAATATAAGAATGAAACAGGAAAAGTGCACTAAACGGGAGGGGGAAACAGTAGCTTTTGAGGATCTCAAGAATTCCTATGGCCTGCTGTCCAAACAACTCACTTGTCAATCACAGTTCTGACTTCACTCATTGGCTAAAACCATTGACTGGCAGGAGCAGCCAAGCTGGCTTATGTCACAAGAATTGTTTAGAAGGTTACCTGTACATTTTGCTTCATAACTTTCTTTCTAGGAGAGCTAGAGAATTGCCTTTAAAAAAAGAAAGCTCAGAGTCTTACCTTCCTGTTGGCTGAGAGTCCAGTATATCAGTACCCCTTGTACCAGATTATTGGCAACCCTATTTTCTGGCATGTTAGAGATAAAAATGAGGCTAGAGAGACCATTAGCCTGACACAGTAAGTGTGTGTGTATTCCAGCAATAATTATTCATAAATGGTGCAAGAGAAGACTCAGCCTGAACACTTCACTTTTGCCCAGGTATTTCAGTCTGTCAGTTGACTGGCAAAATGCAAGAATTTAGGGAATCTTGTTATTTGCATTCTGATTTCTAAGCTCCCTCCCTTCATATTGGCATCAAATCTTCTAGCTTTCATCCAGAACAATGATGATTTTAACCAAGCTGCATGTTGATTCTGCTCTCTGATCAAGGTTAGACAGCAGAGCACACATTGTGTACATACTTGTGCATTCTGTGGAATCCTAGTAAAAATAAAAACATACAGCTCTCATTGACACACATTGCAGTGGGTGGGGGAGACCTTTCTCCATATGACCCTGATGTCAGTGTCCCTATTCTGTTGACAGGTAACAACTAAGAGCTAAGCTCTGGCCTGCTTGTTTTCCTCTTGCTCCCTTGTATTGCCCAGTGAAATCCAGCAAGGATGGAAAGCACAGCTTGAGGAAACCCAGGACTCTGTGGATGACAACTGTTGGTGGTTGATTCTGTGATCTGCCTTTACTTTGAAGCCTTATCTCCTTGCTAAAGGCTTGATGACCTGCATCCAATTTAAGACCTACATGCCAGGTAGATAAAGGGTTACACCTTAGCCGTGGCTCTAAGCTGTGTGAGGATAATTTATCAGCTGGCAAGTGCATTGGCTTATATTGATCCATGCACAGCCCCGTGCAAATAGAGTCAGAAGGAGCGAGAATTAGTCCCAGCATGATGGTGACATTACTGTTTCTATTACAGAGCAACCCTGTTTGTGCTCAGGGCCCTGCTGTGCTAGGCAGTGAGCAAATGAAGAACCAAAGGTAGTCTCTGCCCCAAAGTTCTCCCAATCCAGGTAGTCGAGGACAAAAACACCTTCTTAGGGTCACCGTGTTTCCACTGTGGCAGAGAATGGAGAGAGGCTAGAGTTTTTCAGCAACATGGACATCTCTCTGAACTGGGTGTTTGTGTGGTTATCTCTTGGAGAGACAGTCCAATTAGTTCCTGGTGCAGACTATCCCAAATGCCATTCTGAATCTGTCTTTCTCCCCTCAGCTAAGCTTCTGTGAATATTCCCCTCAATAGATTTTATATACAATTATATTCAAATATTTTCAAATGTGGATTTTAGGTTCCTTTCTGCCCCCCTCCTCGGTTGTCACATTTCTTTCTATTCCCTTCTGTGCTTTGTGCTTCTCAATTACAATTTGTAAATACTGAATCTGGTAGGAGCCTGCCTTAATTGCTTATTTCAGGGATGAGGAACCTGAGGCCCTCCAGATGTTAGAGGGCCTCCATTGGTTTGGTATGGCCAATGGTCAGGGATGGTGGGACTTGTGGTCCAGCAACTACAGAACCACAGATCCCTTGCTCCTGTCTTACTGTTCTGAAGCCACAATACTCTTCAATATTCAGGAAGCACCCATATTGTTCCTAGATCTGTCCCCAAACACATTTTGTTAAAATTGGCTCTAGGGCACGACCTGCTTTCAGGGAATGAATGAAGGGCTGGGGGCGGGATGAGATACTTTTCTAGTAATCACTCTACTTTGAGATAAAAAGGCAGCTTTATATCTCTCCATCAGGTGAGAGGCACATGTCCCATCTGTGAGACTCTGGGGACAATCCAGGGTCCCAATGTGGGGGAGACAAAACTGTAATCAAGTGAGAGGAAATATAGAGAAGTTGCCAAAAATGATTAAAGGGTTTTAGAGGATTTAAATAAGTGTGATTAAAAGAGCTCAGTTTGTCTAGAGCAGGAAGACTGGATATGCAGAGAGACAGCCTGGGATCATTGTAGTATGCAAACTTAACAGGTGAGTAGATGAATGGGGTTTTTTAATTTCTTTTTTCTTTTGCATAGAAAGGGTGGAGAATGTATCATGTGATGTGGGGAAAACAACACTAAGAACCTGCCCTGCCCTGAAGGGACTCTATAGGCATACAAAATGTCACTACTCTTGTGGGAGGGGAAGAAGGAGAGAGCATCTGCAGCCACTGCTCATTTGCATAGGCTCATCTATTTAAATATAGACAGCGGCTGTATTTTCTCCACAGCCATCCGCAAAAGCACTCGCCAACAATGCCATGGTGACTTCCCCTCCTTGTTCTGCCAAGTGCCCCTTCCTAATGGATAACACAGGGCTGAGACAAGCTTTAGAGTTTGTTTGCCCTTTTGTCTGAATCATCAAACTATCACTTATCCTTTCCTTGCTGCAAACCAGGATCAACCCCTGATTTCCAATCCTGGTTTGCAGGGCAAGTTCAATTTGCTGGTCTGGACAAAATGGCAGACTATAAGAACATAAAAAAGTGTGTGTGTACTTCAACCACAGAACCTTACATTTGTCCCTATTAAAATTCATTTTGTTAGTTTGGGCCCAGTTCTCCAATCTGTTTAGGTCATCTTGAATCCCGATTCTGTCTTCTGCTGCGGCATAAGCTGCTGCTCCCAGTTTGATGTCATTTGCAAATTTGATGTGCAAATCCTGCCCAACTAAGAAGTTGGGGCTGAGTACATGCCTGCCCCACAGTTTTATCCTCATAGCTAAGTGGAGATGCAAGCTTAGGCTTCCTTAGTCCTCATCCCAGCGTTCTACCCACTGGAGTCATTATGTGAGCTTAGTTCAGAATGAGGTTGCCTGAAAATCATGGACACCTGCTGGGTTCAGGTTGTGACATGTGTCCTGACTCTCTGCCTCACAGCTGAAATTATTTCATATATCCTTTAGGCTGAACATTCTCCAGCTACTCCCATGGGCTGGGAGCTTTTCTGTTACTCTTGAAAAGCAAAGAACAAATTTGTGCTGACCATCAATGTTATCCTTTATTGCAATGTTCTGCTATTTGGAAATACAGCTTTGTCTTAATCCTAATTTTGTTGTCAATCACCCTATTCTTGTGCTGAAGCGTGTATCTCCCTTTGCTTGGGGGGGGGAGATTCCCCCTCCCGACCCCACAATTATCTTGCCACCTACACTATGGATAAAGCACTGCTGTTGCCGAAACAATAGCACTTGGGTTGGTGCTGGCCAACCCAGTGATGTGCTGGGCAGGAGGCAAGAGTCAGGTAGAGGCTTTTGCTGGGAGAGTAGCCAGTGCTCTTTCTGGCAAGAGATGATGCAAGATGGCCATGGAGTCAGGGGGAGGCCACAGTCACAGTGTGCAGGACTGCGGACTGGCTAAGAGCATCCAGGCTGGTCATGGGCACTGACAGCAGCTGGTGCAGAGCACTGCTACCCAGTTGGCAGCTATTTACATTTTTAAAATAGTTTTAAATAATGAATGAATGAATGAGTAAGTGAAGCATGTGGAGTGCTGCCCCACCCCTGCAGCCTTGCACCTCGCACGTGATGGTTGGTCCTTGCAAGTCGCAGTGGCCTCTTACCTCCCAGCACACCTCTGCACCAGCTGCTGTTGGCAGCAGTAAGTATAAAATGTGGGGGTTTCAATCATCTTGAAAGGCCCCTGGTGTCATTTCGGAAAGTGGCCTCAGATGCTGAATGGCGAGGTGAATTGAATGAGCTGCAAGCTGAGGAAATAGCCATGTATTGCAGCAAGAATACACCCTCCGTACTGTACCAGTTTCTCCTGTTTCTCTTCCGCAGCTGGAAAGGGAATGCAGAAACCCTGAGTTCTGTGCCAGCTGTCTGTCCCTGAGGGCTCTGTATTTCCTCCTAATAAAAACTGTGATTCTCCTTATGCAAAGCACAGGACACACCGAGGGGGAAGCAGCTTAATGCCAGGAGTTGCCAGGGCACCTTTGTATTTGGAAGAGGAATCCAGACTTCTGAATGCCAATAAATCCAGTGGAGCTGGCCTCAGCGTTCCAGAGGACTGTCTTTCCCCCCCTTTTTGCAGCTCTTTGCTCTGGCCATTGTGAGTTGCTGTTATTCTAAAGTAGACTATAAGGGGGAGGTGGGACTTGACAGAATGGGGAAAAGATTGTCCCCCTGTCAAATGACTTTTAAGGGTGCTTAATAATTAGTTTGTTGTATCTTTCCCCATTTTCCCCAAATTAGAAACGTAATGCAGCCATTTGAAGAATCAAATATGACAGCTGAGTTAACTTGCTGTTTCTAAGCATAGTCCTAAAACAATGCTAGCCATAGAACCACAATGTATCAGTGCTTTTATGGTAGCAGGTTGATATTTAAAACATGAATATCCCCTACTGCCAAGTTTTGCTTTCAAAATGGAGCCATTCTGTGCACAAAATAGTTTCCAGCTTGAATAAATAGGTTGAAAGTAGGACTTTGATCAGTTTATTCCACAACCAATGTGCAGTGGTAGTTCATTTGATACACAGAACGCAACTATCTTCCTACTGGGAAGCACCTTTCTTTCAAGGATAATACATTTTATTGGAGCTCCATTTGCAGGGAAACCAAAATGCTTGTTTACAAAACTATTGTACTACCAACCTTACTGTATGCTTGTGAAACATGGACCACTTATAAACGCCATCTCCAACTCCTCAAAAGATTCCATTAATGGTGTCTCTGAAAATTTTTTTATATATCACTTGGGAAGACAGGCGAACAAATGTCAGTGTACTGGAAGAAGCAAAAATCACTAGCGTCGAAGCAATGATTCTTCACCGTCAACTTCATTGGACTGGTCATGTTTTTCAGATGCCTGATTATCGTCTTCCAAAGCAACTACTCTATTCCAAACTTAATGCTGGTGGTCAACAAAAGAGGTTTAAAGACTCCCTCAAGGCAAATCTTTAAAATTGTAGTATAAACACCAACAATTGGGAAACACTGACCTGCGAGCGCTCCAACTGGAGAACAGCCTTTACCAAAGCTGACATGGACTTTGAAGAAGCACAAACTCAGGATGAAAGGGAGAAACAAGCTAAGAGGAAGGTAAACCCTCACCATGATCAACTCCCACCCGGAAACCTATGTCCCCACTGTGGAAGGACCATGGATCAAGAATTGGCCCCCACAGTCACTTATGGACTCACTGTTATGACCGTGTTCATGGAAGACAATCTTATTAGTCTATGAGTGATTGCCAAAAAAGAAAGAAGATTTTCTTGCAGCTCCAAAGTTGCTGGGGAAATGCAGTTCTTTACTTGGGTTGTGGGTCACTGCCGCAGTTTGGAGCAATGAAATATGATTGTACCTATGGCTAGCGCATGTGATATTTATCTCCTGCTTTTCTTCCATGATGGAATACATCAAGGCAGTGTGCACAGGCACCAAAGTACTGAACAGTTTCAAGAGCTGCTTAGCTTCAGCAAGGTAACTGTATCACGAGCCTTGGGATCTACTCCCGATAAGCAGCACAACTCAGCTCCCCCACATTGACTGCACCACATTGTGACTCTAGCATGGCCTGCATAGGAGATTTTTCATTAAAATGGAAATTGATTGGCCTCAAGGCAAAGTGTGGAGAAGTCACCCAGCATTATCACCACCTTTTATTTAGACACGTGGGCAATTGACCTAACAGGTGATCAGCGGTAGGCTCGTGACTAGATTGCAGAGGCACCAAGTCATGTAGAATTATAGTGCTGGAAGAAGCTGGGGAGGACATCTACTCCAACCCATTGCTCAGCACAGGACCTGCAGTGCAGGGAGCTGCTACAGTATCCATGACAGGTGGCTGTCCAGCCTCTGCTTAAATACCCCCACTGAAGTTAGGTTGGATAAGGGATGTAAAAAGAGAGGATGCTAATCCTGTGCGGAAATAGGTATTGGGCTAGACAGGTGCTCCAAACATGGTAGCTGAGGTTAAGCTGCCAACCAAGCTGGAGAGAGAGGCCAACTGAATTCCTGTTCTGGGACCCTTTGCTGCCTACAGAACTGCCTAAGAACTTGAGACTTGAAAGCAAAGAGGTCTCTTCACATGCTGCTGCCTTTTCAGTCATACTTAGGAACATAAGCCCCTGCCTTTTAAAATATTTGCCCATCTAGGCCAGTGTTGTCTGCTTTGAACGGCAGCAGCTCTCAGGGGTTCCGGTCAAAGGCCTTTTTGATCATCTGCTACCTAGTCCTCTTTACTTTGTTCTTTGCCTGGGATTGGGACCTTCTATGTGCAAAGCATGTGCTCTGTTAGTGAGCTACACTTTCCCCCTTTCCTCCCAGGGACTTCTTTGCAAGGGCTGTATCATGCAAAGCAAATGGCTTGAGCCTGCTGTCTGCAAGATGGGGAGAGAGAAGGCTTCCCTAACGGTCATGCAGCAATAAACAGGCATCGCATCTGTGGGTCCATCTTCCTACCGAGCCTTTTTCTGCTTTCTCCATCCAGACCCTACTCATCTTCCAAAGCTGAGAATTAAAGGCCCATTGTTTTTGTTCCAACTCCAGTGTTCAGTCACTGGATCACACTGCGCCAGCTACAGACACGCTACAAATGCCCTTTTGCTTCCCTTGTGTAATAATCTCTTCCAGGCCTACATCTGGCTGCTGTCTCACCCTGGTGTACATTACAGAGATATGTACATCGCCGCCCTCTTGGGGGTAATGCAATAATTTGGCAGTTTTAGATGTAATTAGGCAGTTTCTTAAGAAGCGGCGTCTTTTCCCAAGAGAGAAAGAGTGAGAGAGCAGCCTTGTGGAGAGATGATAAATCCATAATTAGGGAGGGTTTTTGAAGTGTCTTTAATGCACACAGCCCTGCCTGGGGAAGCGTACTCCTGGCCCTGCTTCACAAAGCCCAGAGCAAACAAGGTGAAGTGCTGCAGGACAAAGACATGGGACCCTGCTGAGGCTGGAGTTGGACAGCATTCTCTCAATAGTGGGAAGGGGCAGCATGGGGGCAGCTTTCAGCCTGCTTGTTAAATCTCTAGCTTAAGCTGGGATTCTTTGGGTCAGTTTGCATGGTGAAGCAGGAAATTAACATGAAAGGCTCTGCAGGGGATAATCTCTCCCATCAGTTTGTGCTGACACAATTGCTGGGGAGTATTGTGTTGCAAGAAGCAAGGGAATGATGATGTGAGGTAGGGAAAAAGGGGACCAGGCCTGAGAGAGGCACGAACCAGATGCAGCTGCAGGTATTTTCCTTATTGATTGTATATTCAAATGGGAGCGAACAAAAAAGTTTATAAAGTGCTCTGCACTTTAATAAAAGTGCTGCACAAATTGTGGCCATCATGATGATCAATAATACTTCTTTCCAGAGTAGTAAATTGGGTAAGTGCTAACTCCACATGGTACATGGTCATAAGAATGCTAACAGTTATTGAATACTGATGACAATCAGAGTCACTGGTTGGTTGTGGACATGCTCCCTTACAGGAATAAATACCAGTAAGCATGGTTACATGGTGCTCTTCTGTCAACACTGATAGTATGTGAACCAATTTGGTCACAGAAACACTCTTGTACGCCATGCAGCTAACCTTTTTTTAGCCCGAGGGCCACATTCATCCTTGACCAAACCTCCTGGAGGCTTGGTTGGTGTGGCCCCCTCACACCTCATATGTAGTTCAGTTTGTATCTTCTCTGCATACCAGAGTTCTGTGTCCGCTTTAATTGTCTCCCCCTTTTTTTTGCCACTGCCAAAATTTGTGCAGAAGTTAGCCAACTCTGCCATACAAGTTATAACCATTGTGCCTACAATCCTGATAAGAAGGTAGCCCCACCGATGGGGTTTTACTTACAGAGTAAAATATATATATGAGTATATGAGGCCTCAGTCAAGAGACTGCTATGCTTAGGGAAACAGGGAGACTGGTGGGCACTCTCATCCATTGCATAATTTTAAAAAGATGTAGTCTCCTGTGGGCAAGGTTTAGTAGAATACATTGTGCTGCAAAAGTTTAGCTTGAGCTTTTGTGTTGTATATTTTGCACAATTTTTGTTGTTGTTAATGAATGCTTGTTTTTGTATGGTCCTGCCTCCTTGAGCCTCAGTTGTGCCCCTTCATAGCAGGCTTTCTCAGGCTGGAGACCCATTTGCAGGTTTATTAGTCCAAGGTGTTATTAGTCACTGCAATGGAGTATGGAAGGTGCCACTGAAGTGGGGATTATTTCTGCATCAGCCATTGTTCTGCCTGCATCCCATATTAAATTTGGGCAGTGTAGGGAACGTGGAGAGAATGGCTCTTGTTCAGGACACAGTGTTCCCTGGCTGTGATATATATGGTCCTATTTCACCCCATCTCTTGTCCTGCTCTGAGCTAAGCCATACTCTTTTATTCTATGAGGAAATTTACAACTGCTTGCTCATGTTGTGCCCTCAGCTTCCATGGGGAATCACTGTCTTGTTGCCAGAGACCCAGGCAAGGAAGCCAAGAGTGGGACAGCTGTATCTCTCTTCCCTCTGTGCAGTAGCTGTCAGCATCCCCTTCCAAGTTGGGGAAACTTGCAGGAGTCAAAATGCTCAGGAGGAAACACGCTCCTGCTGTGATTGCAAGCACCCATCTGCAGCACTAGGGAGAATTCAACAGCAGGGGGCATGGGAGGCAGGGACCACTGGAAACAGCACTTTTATTTTATGTTTTCTTGTTTCCTTGCATTTCATTAAAAATACAGAGTCCTTCATTGTGGCTCCCTCTGGAAAAGTGACATGCTTTTTCATATCACATATGCAGAACACAAAACACAGAGGGTGTGTGCAAACAACTTGGGATGGGCCTGGCCTGGTGTAAAGACCCCGGGAGTCCTGACAGCTCCTATCCCCACTTCTCTAAAATCTGGTTCCCAAGCCTTTTCCCTGACACTCCCACAAGATGTCATTCCTCTTTCAGGTCAAGCTGTGCAAACCAAAAATTCCTGTACAAGGCAGTGGATATTTTTCTTAGCTTGGCAATACAGTGTACACATTCCCATTATGAGTGGACATTTCCTTGTCCTTAACCTACAAATGAAATTGGCATTGTGGGTCAGAGCACAGGGGGTGGGCCAGAAGATGGAGAAGCTATTGTGTTTAATTCAGCAAAGGCCCCATTGTAGCTCAGCTGGGGGGCGAGTAGCAGCTGTCAGAGCATCTGTCTGCCAGCAGGGGCCTGTTATCAGGCTTGGCTATGGGGATTATGGCTGGGGAGTGGGTTGTTGTTTCTTCTGTGTCAAAAATACTTAATCCCATGTTTACACCCTTCTTTTGGTGAATAGAGACTACAGGACAGCCCAATAATGGAGCAAAACATCTCTCTATATGCCATTCCCCCCAGAGCTGGAACACGCCTGGTTCCTGCCCTCTGTTATCACCACACATTAAATTTCAGATCCCAGGGGTATGGGGCAGGAGAAATATATGAGCCTTGGGTAGGCACTGATCAAGTGTCACTTTAATATTTCCCTTTGACTGAAACAGCACCAGAAAGGCCTTCTGGCTGTGGGCACACTGGATTCCAGGCCCGTTTCCATGGCAACATAGGTAGCCTAGTGGCCAGAGCAATATCCACCTCACATGACATTTAGACTCACAGCCTTTGATGAAAGAGGACCACTGTTCAGTATTCATGCAAGAAAGTGTGAGCTGGGACGTCTGATTTCTGTCCCCAATTTATTAGCGTGGAGGGTGATGAACATTTCTTCCTTTATTTCAGTATGACCTCAGTACTTCCAAGGATAATGCATGCTAGGCTCACTCTATACTCAGTGCTCTCCAGTGCTGACTTATCCCACTGGGTTATGTGCTAGTTATGAGGGGAAAGATAACCGTGCATAGTAAGTTTCAAGCCTTTGCTGCCATTGCCTGTTACTGAATTCTATATTGAGATTGGGCCTGCAGAACATAAGGCCGCAAGGCCAGAATGTGACCCTGGGGGAGATTCCAAAGGCCTGTTTGAGGCCTATGGAAGCAACCATGGCCTATGCAGGCCCACCACTGGTGGTGATGGGAGAATGCACAGATCATATTTTGTGTTGCTGTTCTCCTCCCTGGATTCAGAGCCACATGTTGGAATTGGTACCACTTTTTCCATCATGTTGCAGTCATGCATGGCTCAGCCTGCCTGCGTCTGATGTTCCCTCAGTGTGTGAATTGCTAGCAGTATATATTGTTATAACAAAACTCAACAAGCAGTAGAAAAGTAGAGGAAGTTAACAGAAACACAACAACAGATGCTCAGTGAAGAAAGGAGTTACAGATATGGTGCAGAATGTGTACTTTGGGATGCAGGGAGCAAAAAGGGGGATTTCAACCTTCCAAAAATTATCTGGAGTCACAGGTGAGGTAGCAACCATGGAATATACTAAATTATTCAGGACGGTAGGATCCCAGACAGACTGAGGGGGTGGAGAATCTAAAAGGATGTCTCTAAACTGGATGGATGGACATTGGCATGTAACACTGAATGTAAGTTAATGAAAAGTTATGCACAATGGGATTTAAAAAAATCCTAGTCCTTTACAACACATGAACTAACTGTGACTTTGCAGGAAAGAGAAACATAAACTTAAGCTGCACCAGTTGTGAAAAAGGCAAATTCCATATTGGAAATTACAAGGAAAAGAGATTGAAAATAAAATAGCAAGTATCATAATGTCTAAATCTGTGTGTGGTACTGTCAAACTTGAAATACTGTGCTTACTTCTGGTCATTCGTCTCAAACAAAGATAATGGAACTGAAAATGAAAAGCCAAATGACCAAGCGATCAGAACCTCTTTCTTATGATAGCTCAAGTGTCTGGGGTTGTTTGGTTTTTTTCCGTTTAGAAAAAAGAAAAAAGATGACGAAGGGGGACCTTATAGAAGTTTAAAAAATTATGGTGTGGCGAAAGTAATAGGTTTCCACATCATAGTTGAATTTGGGAGTCACCCAATGAAATTGATTGGCGGGAGATTCAGAACAGATAAAAGGAAGTGTTTGTTCAATTAACCTGTGAGGTTCACGGCCACAAGTTGTGATGGATGCCATTATCTTAGATAGCTTTAAAAAGAATTTAGAGATAGTTCATGGAGGATGATAGAAGCCTCCCCCCCCAAAAAAAAGTGATTTAAAAATGGGTACTGTGATGTCTGAGTTTGGACCCATCACACCAAAAATCAGGCGAACTCATGCCCAAGTCACATTTTGGTCCACCATCTTGATTCAAAATGGCACCCTGCATCCAAACTATGATGAAGACAGCTGCTCTCATCTTGGGAACCCTCATGCCAAGTTTGGCGATTATATCTCAAGAGGTGTCCAAACACATAAGATAAACAAACAAACAAGTAGACAAACCATTTTCTAAAATCTAGAATAGATGAACAACAGTTATAATGTAAGTCTCTTTGGGTCACCTTTGTGAGGAAAGTGACTAACAAATAGCAATAGAAGAAATAATGAAGCTTCTGCACACAGAAGTGTATCTCCATAGTCCGTGGAGGGGGTGGGGGTGGGGAAACGCTTCCTGGAAGCACTGTTGTTTTGTCCAGGGAGGCAAATTTTCAGAAGGAGTGCAGAGAGAGGGTTGAGGAACAAGAGGACTGAGCATAGCTTTGAGAGGGAGCGGCAGAGAGACAGACAGGCAGACAGACAGAGACAAAGTCATGTTAGAGGAAAAAGAAAGCACTGTTGGGCACAAAAAGAAGGGCTGCAGTGTCCCAAGAGAAAACAAGTTGACAGAGAATAGGCTTGGAAAACACTGTGTTAAAATAAGTAACAAAAATGCCTTTTTGTTAACGAGGCAGTGTTATTTTCCTGAACTAATAAGAATGTAAGTGTAGCTGTCAGGGTGATTTGAATTGTGTTCCCCACTTTAAACACTGCCCTGATGGGCCTAGTGGCCATTAACCTCCTCCTGCCCTGGCTCCAATGATTACTCATTGGGTCCAGTGTTTTAGGCCCGGGTGGGGAACCTCAGCCCCCCTCTAGCCAGTCCTCTGAACTCTCCTGAAGCCATACCTCCTTCCCAAGGCATACCCCCTCTAGATAGGCCACCCCTCTCGTGTTGTAATCATAAACTTCCATTGGTTCTTTACTGTTCCTGTGCAGCTCTTTGCATGTTCGCTCCAAGTATTTGTGCTTCCCCTTCTTGGACTGAAAGGGTTGTACTGTGTGTAGACTTGTGTAACCTTTGCAGCAAGGCTGGCTTTAATACAAAGTTTTTGAAGCCATCACTTTGGAAAATTCCAGAAAGGGCATCATATTTCTGTCTCCGTTTCTCTGTTGTTGTGGTTTAAATGAGCCCCAGTTCATAGTGGACGTCATTGTTGCTCGTGTGGGAAAGTGTACATGGCGTTGCAGACATTGCAAGCACAGAGAGGCAGGCTGAAGCTGCAGGGTAAATGGGGCTTTGAGAAAAGTAGGGTAGGATTAGAGTGGAGGATGCCTTCACATGTATGTGGTTGGGAGCCATTTCAGCAAGGGCACTGAGAAAGATGCACCACCAAAGTGGTTGTACTTTTCATGCATGATGAAACAGCTGCTACTGTGCTGCAGTGTGTGTGTGTGTGTGTGTGTGTGTGTGTGTGTGTGTGTGTGTGTTTACCAGCTCCTAAATTTAGTGTGGGTAAGGGGAGTACCTGAACAGAGCCTGGGTATGGAGGACTCTGGGTTTTAAGGTACAGCGCAGAACAGGAATAGGGACACAGCTTTGGGCATGTCTGTTTTGCAGCTCCTGTTGCATGCCGAAAATGAACCTATTTACCCTGGCCTTTGACAGTTAAAAGTATTTTGTTTTGTGGGACCCACCTCTTTTGGTTTTGGCTGGAACAGTTTTACTTGGTTGCAATTCTTTTCGTAGAAAAAAACTTTTGTTTTTATAACTGTATATTCTGTTGTCTCCTGTTCTGGGGCCTTACAGTGAAAGGCAGATAATAACTGATATATAAATAATTCCCTTCCTTTAAAATTTAAATGATTTATACTTTTTGAGGGAAGTGGCAACTTCATCACCTTATGCCCCTTTCTGTTGGAACCCCCTCTTCTAGAGAAAAGGCTTCCATGATTGTATGGGCATAGGTAGATATGTTGAGCTGTAGGGGCTTCCTAGGAAATACACTGAGTGGTGGTGGGCTGATTGGGACAACAACGCAGGGAAGACAATGCAGAAGAGTTGTGACTTTTACTTGGGGCAAAGTAAGGGCAGAGGGTAAACACTGCTTCTGCTGCTAACCAGACTCAAGACTCCTCTTCTTTCTTCCACCAGGCCTGCTGTTGTGTCCTCCACTCTGGGATGACCAGAGTGGCTCCAGGTTGCTGACAGCTCCAGCACCGAGTGCAGCATGGCCCGGCTCATCCATGCCCTCTGGAGTCTCTGCATCACCACTGTCCTTGTCACCTCAGCCACCCAAGGTAAGAGGAGTTCAAGAGAGGCAGCCCTTGGAAGGCAAGACTTCTTCCTGAGTGAGTCCAGGTCTTGTGATTAATTGAGTCATAAGCTTTTGTCTTGCTGCCACAGCAAGGCCAGGAGAAAACAAAACGAAACTCTCATTTGATACAAAATAGAAGTGAGCAATCCTGCAGTTCCCAGAATAAAACTTTTATTTTATTTTTTTCCAGAATAAGCAGTAAGATAATTTTTAGAACAGTATTTAACTGCTTCTGTTGGGCATGTCAAAATATTTTCTAATTAAGTACTGGAAACAGAAGTACTTTATTTAGAAATGTACGGTGCTTTGCAATTACAATTCCTGGCCTTGTCATAGATATATATTGGTGCGTAACCAAAAAGTGCTTCATGTTAAACCTTCCCAGTAAGTAGAGGGCAATGCCCCTGAAAGTGCAGAAGGAAGCCTGGGATTATGACTGGCTATATTTTGGTGTGCTTGTGAATCTTGATCGGATTCTTCCTGAAGTTTTGGAGTAGGACATGATATGAACAAGTTAAAATTAGGAACCATGTAAAACAGGGGGTCAAATGTGGCCCTCCAGCAATCTCTATGCCCCTCAAGTCTCTACTCAAGCCTCAGCCCTTACTCAAGCCACACCTGCACTACATCCTCTTTGAGGGCCTTTTACTGACTGGAATGCATCCTTGAAAGGTGAAATTGCCTCTTCCTTGTCTGGATGGAGAGCAATGTGGGATGTATTATGTGGCTGGAATATGGCCTACTGTACATAGGTAAAGAGACACGTCCTTTGCTCCACCCACTTTTTGCCTCTGTCCCAGCCCACCACTGGGCATGTTTCTTCCCAGAAGGTTGCCTATAAAGGAAGGCAGTCCTCAGGCTGAAAAAGGTTCACCACCTGACACACATAATCTGAAGCTGCTACAGCTTTTGTCGGAGAGCTGTCACTGTAGTGTGGCATTGCAAAAGGAAGGGGGGGGAAGAGAAATTTCATATGCATATTAAATGCAGATTTCAAAATATCTGTCATAATTTATGAAATACAATGCATCTCACTAAAGGTGACCCACCTGTCTGCTCTGTCTTACGTTCAGCTGCTAAATGTTGATAAGCAGCATCTCAGCAAATCGTGCCTCTCCCTTTTCCCTAGTCAAGGGTCAGAGTATCTTGGAACATCACCTGAATTGCCTTTTAGGGAACATTTTATTTCTGATCATCAGGCGGATCAAACATAATCCATACTATATATTTGACCCTCCAGAGGGTCAAATATATGGGCCTCCAAAACACAAACTGAGGCAAGTCTAAATATAAGTGGAAGTGGGGTTATAGATCGGTTTTGTTCTTGTTTTATTATGTATTTTGTGTTTATATTTTGTATTTTTATCTTGTGAACCACCCTGTGATCTTCAGATGAAGGGCTGTATACAAATTTAATTTTTTTAAAAAAATTAAGTATTAGCCATAAGCTACTGTCTGTCCTGTGGGGAGGTTGCATGCTTTTCCCTCCCTTCACTTTGTTTTTTTGTTGCATTTACCCATGAGCAATTACTTGTGCATCCTGATCCTGAATGTATCTTCCTGGTGCAGCCATCTTGACTTGTAAGTGGTGCATAAAGTAATAAATAATAATAAAATTCATCATCAACCTATACATGCTGTTGGCTCAAAAGCAAGTGCCACCAATTTCAATGTGACTTGCTGTCCAGCTGTGTCACAAGTACAAAGCAAGAACACTTGGGGTCGCAAAGCAAGTCAATTCCCCAGACCAAATAAATCCGTAGTTTCCACTCCCACCCCAATTTTCTTCATTTCCTTCAACAATATCCCACATAACTCCTACCTTCAAAAGCCTCCCCCGGTTATTTAGTAATATACTTACATTTTCAAGCAATCTTACCCCCAATCAGAAACATAGTGAGCCACTTCTTCCTTTCTTTTCCTTTTCCTTTCCCTTGCCTTGTGCAGTGCATAGCTTGGCTTACTTGCTTGAATTGTCATGAGCTATTTGTTCTGCAAGCACATGGTTCGTGACAGGAGTGGGGAGCCTTTGCGGGGCAGCTTTGACAGGGGCAACCCACCTGTCAATCACATTACATAATTATAACATCATATAAAGGCCACCTGTCAAAACCCAAAGATTGAGAACCTCTGCGCAAGGGGTGTTGCCAGCCATATGCTTTGCAAGCCTCTTTGTGCTTCTCCTTTCTACCTCAGATGTTGGAGGTGGAAAGAAGTTGCTGCACAGAGCAGTGTTGGGAGGGATATGACCTCCAGCAAAGGAACTATCAGGAAGCTTCTTTAAGCTCCCAGTTGCTCCTTTGCAGGATCATGTTTTGCCTGCGGGCTGGAGGTTCCCCATCCCTGGTCTGTGGGGTTCACTAGCTATTGCTTTGTAGGACACCATTCAGAGCAGAATGATAGGAATGAGACTGGGGCATGTAGATAGAAGTTCCTGCATTTGGGCAGAATGTTGGGACTAGATAGCCTTTTTTTACCTTTCCAGCTTTCTGATTCCATTTATCTTTCGGTCATGGACACTCAGCCACAGCATTCCATGCAGTGAAACCACTTGCCTCTTAACCCTTTGGGTATATGGTTGCATTCCTGGCATAAATTTGTCAGCCCCAGCTTGTCCTGTTTAGTTTTGCTGGACAGGAAATGTTGACTGTAGGTGCAGCCCAGGAGGAGGAAGAATTTGTTAACAGGGACTGGTCACAAGTGAATTAGCATTGAAGGTGGTCAGTTCATTTTTTAAAACAGAATGTTCATCATTTTCTTCGAGAATGGAATGCTCCAGAATCACAGATGTGCCTTTTAAAAAGGGACAAGTTGCAACCCTCTTTGGAGATCTTGCAGATGTAACATTAGTTCTAAGAAACCATTTCCAGCCAGTGTACGAGATGTTAGTACCAATTTTATACAATGCCAGGAACTTATGACTTATCCCCACCCCCTTGAGAGCAGATGTCTCCCAATACTCTGCCACCTCTAAGGGGTTTTTTTTGGGGGGGGGTGAGGGGATAGACTTTTTTTTTAATCGGATCCATACAGCGCCATCTGTCCCACATTCTAATTTTAGACTGGGTGAATCTGACATGGAGGAAAATGGTGTTGGTTGGAGGTCTTGAGTCTCTTGCAGGAGAGGCAATTTTGATATGAAAAGAAAGGGTGTGCTTAGCTTTGGCCTTTCACTAGTCTTTCAGATCCAAGTACCTATCTCCTTTACCAAGGAAAAACACTGGGGTTTCATAGACTGTTAGCCTACCAGGCTGCATCCCAAGGGAAGACACAAAACTGCCAGCTTCCTTTTCGGTTTGTCCTGAGATTTTGGTTGACAGGCAGATGGGCAATTGAGTGCTGCCTATTGTACCCACCAGAAGGCAGCTGTACTTAGGCACAGCTACCTGCACTCATGAGAGAATTGCACGACCACACCCATAATCTCTCAACTAATCTATGTACCCTGCCATAGACCACCTTAAACTCAAATGTGCAAAGCCCCAGCACATATAAACAGTGCTTAAAAATGCAAAGAAATGTAAAGAAGTCTTTCTGAAGATGCTCAAACTAATGCTGTGACAAAGGTACAGGGAAGAGTTTAAAAATTCGTGAGGGGAAGCCCAAAATTTTGTATATTCTATGCTTTTTTAAAAAAGAAAAGCTTGCAAAAAATGCACAAATAAAATCTGAATCCTATGAGGATCTATATGGATTGTGCAAATTTGCACATATTTGCTTGCTCTGCATTCTTTTCTTCTGCTCCTCATGACTTACATAAATTGCCTTTGCCAACTAGCCTTGCACTACAGTGCACTTGGATGTAGTCAAGAAATGAAGGGGATTGTGGGAAGTGAAATGACCTTGTTTTCTGTAACTAAGGTGATTGCCTATAGTTCTGTGACCTGGATCCTAGATCATACTAAGCTCTTGGGTCTCTGTTCAACCTGAATGTTATAAGTTTATCAGTGGTGGGAGCTCATACACATAAATCAACAATTTGATTTAGACTCAGCTTCCTTATTCATGCCTGAGCGCATTTATCTTACCACCCCTGGGTTTGGAGAGAGTAGACTCTGCTAAAATAGCTCTTGATCTCTCTAACTTGGAGATTGTGAACATGCTGGCATTTGAGTTCAGCAGCAATATCTGTGCCTGGACAGTGCAGTTGCAAAATGTGGAATACTCACAGGCTATGGGTCTGCTTTTTTACATGCCTTTTCTGTCTAGCCTCAGCCTCTGGATGGTGAACTCAAGGAAGCATTATTTTTTAATCTTAATGCCCAATGTAGAGAATGTGGCCTTTACATATGATAGGCACAATTTGTTAAGGGCCTTCCAAGATCTGTTGAAGTCTTTTAGATCACGTTGTTGTTGTTGTTGTTGTTGTTGTTGTTGTTGTTGTTGTTGTTGTTAATCTATCCATCTTCCCAAAAGATGAAAGCACTTCAGTTTGAGGTCTCTGTATATTCATAATTTCTACCTACCTTGAGCCTTCCAGGCACAGGTAACTAAATAATGAAATCATAAACGTGTAGAAAAATACTTCTGAAGCACTGTAAGACTGCAGAGAACATGGGAACACTGGTACACTTAATATCCAACCAGGGTTCCTGTTCCTCACATTCATCCCCACATTTTCTACCCATGCCCACATCATACCTGGCCATACTATTGGAGATTGCTGTATGAGAGGAGTGTTTGATCTCCCTCCTTCTTTCAGCAGGAAGCTCTAGCAGTCAAAGTCACTGGTGAATCTCCCATAATGCACCTGGCCTCTCTTTAATCAGTGCTTTTCTGTCCCATGCTTCCCACTTCAAGGCACTATTGTGGCTGCTGCTTCTGGCGTTTCATCTCTCAGGCCCCTTTGTGTTCCCTTCCTAGGGCAACTGCATAGCACTTGGGTCCAGCTTCAAAGCATCAGCCACATGGGTTTCAATAGGCAGGGGGTGGCTTTAAACAAAGCCAGTTTTCTGCACTAACCCATGGTTCATTGTATGGCTGAGCTTGACAGTTTGGGTAGGGAGGGCCTAATGCCCATCATGATGCCCATCAGTAGACAGCCATATATTCATGTTCCTACTTACGTGGTTAGAGCCAGGATGAAGAGGCCACTGGTACCCCAGGAGGAGCACTGGGCTGGTCATTCTGAAACATATTGAAAAGAAATATTTTCATTCCCATTATTTTCTTCTTTTATCCTGCTAAATTCCAAATTGCTTCTGCCATCCAGTGCTGCCTGCCTGGTATACCTGTTTGCAAGATTCCTGTAATCCACCATTGAGAATCAGTGGGCATAGTAGCTGATAATTGCCCATTGTAAGAGTATCTCCTTATGCTTTAGGTGTTAAATATTTTACCCCTGCTAATTGCAGCTTCTCCACCATCCCCTCTGCCCAGTTCCACTAGGGACACATGTCCCTTGGTCCCTTCCTTTGTGTGTCCACATACAAGGAATCTGTCTTGGTACTTTCCAAAGTAAACTTACCTCCTCAGTCCCAAGAATAGCCAGGTTTGCCCAGCTGCTAAAGTGGAGTGGTGTGTGGAGGAGCAGACAGACCGACAACTGATAAAAGGGCATAGAGGGGATATAATGTCACTGTCCTCTTCAGACCCTATTGAGAAGAAGCAAGAGGTTGGTAGCTGTGGCAGCTAATAAAATAAGGAGCTGGAAGCAAAGTTTTCCCCGCAACACTGTGCCCCTGTGAATTACTCAATATGTTTAGGAAAGTCTCGGATCACACCTACAATTAGCTGCAACCAGCTGTCTGCCCTGAAACCAAATAGGTGCCATAGCCCCAATTCAGTGCAAACACATCCAGATGCAGCTGGGAGACTCTTGGGGCTTTGTTCATGAGCCTATCCTGAAGCTGCCAGTGTGGGAAATCCATGGCTTTTGGCAGCTGTATTTTGGTTTCTACAATACTTACTGCCAAGGTCTGCTGTCCCTTCTTCATTTACTGTCCTCCATTCATGTATCCACTCTCGGCTGCCCTTTCTTGCTCTCTCAGCTCGTACCTTCTGTTGTCTGCTGGGCTCCCCCACCAACACCGCCTGAAACAACCACCAGCACTCGGGCTGTTACTAGTTAGTTACTCAGCTAATGGTTTAATTACAGACTCCCTCCACAGGGTCCTTCCATTAACCCAGCAAGGGGGAAGGAAAAATTACACAAAGAGCAGCTATGACATGCTTGCTTCCCAGTCCCCTCTCTAGCCTGCCTTTAAAGCCCTGAGTGCCACTAATGTATGTTCCCCACTAGGGGCTCTGACTCTTGCCCTTTGCAGCTGAAGGTACAGGTCTCTTGGCTGATTAGCTGTGACAAGCTAAGAGGCTATGTGAAGCCCGCAAGGAAGGCTTAGGTGCCGCCATGTGGGGTGCCACAGTGTACCCACACAATACAACCGAGTGACTCCCCCTGCAGTTTTCTTCTAACAGTGTACCAGCTCCTTCCCACCGTCCCCATTTGGGAGAGACAAAGCTGATGTGCTACCCAATGTCACACAGATTATAGTGGCAGAAAGAACACGTCAAAGCAAATGGAGCACAGGCCAAATTGAACGTTTGTTTAGGGCATTGGCCCTGAAAGGCATGCCAGACAGCCTGAACATAGTTGCCAGTTCACACCTATGCTGTCCAGGTATGTGGCTGCTGTTTCATTGCCATCCTGGCCCTTCTGCCAGGTTCCAGGCCCTGCTACTTCAACCCCTTGGTTAATAGTGAATGAGGGGTGTGGTGCTGCTTCTTCTATTGCTGGCATTGCTCCTAGAAAATGAGGGGGGCATTTCTTCCCAGTTTAGCATGAGGAGGGAGCCATGTGGATAGAGAAATGCAGTGGTTTGGGGGGGGGGGCAGAGGCAGCAGTAGGCCATTAAGTATGCATTTTTCAGCCAGCTCAAATTGTAGCTGGGGAACATACTACTAGGGTTGTAGGAAACCATAATGCAGTCATTGCAGGTAGCTGTCCTTCCCAAACTGATGTTTGTAGCATGCAGTGACCATAAACAGTCACATCACTATTCCTCACTCCCAAAGACCCAGCTGTAGGGAAGCCTGGCCCCAAGACTTTTATTTGTCTCAGGTGGCGAATCATCAAAGGCAGCTGATTGGCACAGACGCCCCACCGTCTCCTTCTGCTCGCTCCTGCCACTGGGTTTGCTGCCCCTGTTTTCTGTTTCCTACCATTCCCTCTAGCTCACTTGCTGGTACTCCTGCTGCTCCCTCCACAGTAGAAAGCTTAGTCCAGGATGGGGCAGGATCCTTCATAGGAGGCGGAGCATGTGGAAGCTCCATTCCATGTAAGCGGGCGATGAGGAGAGGCCAGGATAGAGCACAGAGCAGCTTCCTGGTTCCCTCCAGCCTCCTTTACAGTGACTTCTCTCACAGCTGTGCTCAGTTAACCACTCTGAGCTTTTGAGCATTTGCCTGGGAAACAAGTACCCATCCATGACTTGACTTCGCCAACATGGAACTGCCAACACTGAGGTGGAAAAGCTGAGGGAGATGAAGCCCTGCCCCTTCTACAGCCAGTGTGTTAAGAGGTTTGAGGGAACCTTCTTTTGGAATAGCATCATTTTTAATTGAAGGAGTGGAAAGAGTGTGTTTTCTTTAGTGAGGTGAGATTTCTGAGGAGACACCAAGCACACTGCAGCTCAGTCTTTATGCTAGTTGGAAAGGAGAAGGAGGATCATCTTGGACTGTTAGAGCAACTATTTTTTAAAAAATGAGACAATTTAGGCTGCAGCTGAGACAATTTAGGCTCAATTGAATTCAACAGGGTTTACATCTGAGTAGAGGATTGTGTTGTTAGGCCGCAATCTTAAATAAATGCACAGGCCAAGGTTGCAATCCAGCACCTCCTTACCTAGGAGTAAGCTCCATTGAACTCTTGAGTGGGCATGTAAAGTATGTGGGCATGTGCTGTAACTTCCATTGAGTTCAGTGGGATTTGCATCTGGTTAAACATGCTTAGATTTGCACTGCTAAAGACGGATAGGTTAATTTGTACCCACAGTACTGACTCTACCATTAGACAGAATGAGGGGGCTGTCTCAGGCTGCTGATTTAGGATGTCATGAAAAGGCAGCAAATTGTTAGTTATTTAATGCATTATATTATTATTATTATTATTATTATTATTATTATTATTATTATTATTATTTATTTACTGCTAGGGAGGGGGACGGGGAGATGTGCTTGTGGGATTTTCTGCCTCAGATGCCAAAATGCCCTTGACTAGCGGGGGTGAGGCATTTGCTTCTTTGCCTCAGGCAGTAAAATGTTGTGGGCTGGCCCTGACTGTGCGGATGGATCCCAGTTGTCCTTTTTCTCCTTCTCCTTCTTGTTCAGAGGGATCCAGGAGCCTGAGCTCTCAGCCCGGTAGTCATGCAATATCCTTCCCATAATAGAAATGAGCAGAAAGCTCTACCATGAATCTTTCTAGAAACCTCCCTAATATCCATGTTCAGATCTCAGTTGGTTCCCCCCCCCCCTTGTTTACTTCCCATCTCCACCTCTCCAGTCTCGCAAAACCTTGCAGGATTCAAAAGGATTGCAAAGAATTTTTCTCAGCACATTTCCCAGACCCTTTCCTCAGCTGCTGTCTCTAAAGTGGGTCACGGGTGGTGCAGGGAGCCAAGAGCTTTATGAAAAACATGTCTGGGTTTTTAAAGGCACATCTGCCTAAGTCTGTAGAGCTTACTCTGAATATGCAGCTCAGCTCAGCAAATGGGGGGGGGGGCAGATCTTTCTCTCTCTCTCTCTCCTCTTCTTGGGTAGTGTCCGGACAAGCACTCTTCCACATACAAAACATACACCAGACATGCCACAGTGGAGGTAGAAGGAAACCCAGAACCCCTGCTGTTGTTCTCCAAAGATTGACATGGAAAACAGAGACTCAAGTAGATAAACATGTTATAGGTCTTGCAGCATGTGTTGAAAATGCAACAGAAAAATAAGAAATCCTGATTTACTAGGTTCTCTTTGTACAAGACTGCAGAGTTGGAAAAGCAACCCTGGAGTCCTGCTTTCCATGCTTTAGTCTCATGGTGTGTGCTGTGCATACCTAAGGATTGGTAGGAAATTGCAGTAGTCCATCAGGAGATAAACTGGAATTGCTTGATCGAGTGGCATAATAAGCCTGTAACCCTGACCCTCTCATCTCCTATCTCAGCAGGTCTAAGCCGTGCTGGCTTACCCTTTGGTCTGGTTCGGCGGGAACTGGCATGTGAGGGCTACCCCATTGAGCTGCGCTGCCCAGGCAGTGATGTTATCATGGTGGAAAATGCCAACTATGGGCGTACGGATGACAAGATCTGTGATGCTGATCCCTTCCAGATGGAGAATGTCCAGTGCTATCTTCCAGATGCCTTCAAAATCATGTCCCAAAGGTAAGAGACTCTGTTTTTCAGTGGGGGGTTGAGGAGGCATTTCCCTTCCCTAATTTCCTTCACCTTCAAATTGCTCCCAGGCCTGTTGTGTTCCTCCAAAGTCACTCTTCTTGTTGTTTTTTTAAATATGGGGTTGTGGCCACTGAGCTCCAGTAAGTTTCTTAACTCATTATGTCGTCCTTTAAGCTGCCATTTCAGATTGAACAGAGGGAGGGCAGGATATAAAGGCCTGTAACAATAAAACAATAATAGTAATAAGAACAACAACGATTTATTACTAGCTGTCCCAATCTGCATCTGGCCCAGATTACCATCCAGCAGTCTACTGTCTGGTTTGTTCTTTCCTCATCAACAACTCCCTTGAGACTTCCAGAAGCAGCTTGCCTGGTGGGGCAGAGCCACAGCAGTGGCCTCCCCTTTACCGCAGGGGGGAGGGATAAGACAGCAGCCATATCAGGGCCATGTGGGTGCATTGGCAGGAGCGCGGCATTCACTCTGCCAGTATGCCCATACAGCCCTGGCCTCGCTGCTGCCTCATCCCTCCCAGTAAGCAGCATCCATGTTGCTGTCAGGCAGGTAATGCCAGCAGCTCTGCTCCATTGGATGAGCGTATTCTGAAGTTTTTCTTAATAATAATAATAAAATAATAACATTTTATTTATATCCCGCCCTCCCCAGCCAAAGCCGGGCTCAGAGCGGCTAACAACAGTAAAATAAATACAACATTCTAAAATCATTTCATTATAAAATTAATTCAAATCAAATTAATGGCAACCATTGGGCTAGAGTTCTGTGAGGATTGCCAAAGGAGGGGGTAATAATAAAATTTTATTTAATTTAATCTTAGTGTGTGCAAACCACACTGACATCCAGGGGAGTCCTTCCATCTAAAGATTTGCACTGGAATGCATAGGGAATGTATTTCCCAATATAACATTCATGTCACAGCCTGAGCTTAATGTTATGTCACAGAACTGAGAAGCTTAGACTGAGTATTCTTCAAACCTTTTCACAGCGGTCATCCCTGAGTCTAGAAAATCTCTCTCTATCCCTTACCAAATACTACTAAAACAGAGGCACCATTTACCTAACTGAGTTGCCATATTTTGCTGGTCTCCAGGCATCTACTGCTGTGTTACAGACAGGCATTCAAAAGGCGATGTTTTTTCCAAACTTGAAAGAAATAGTGTTGAAACCCTTACCTCAGAATCTTTTGGTTAAGCAGTATAATACCTGAGATTTAACATGAATCATACTTTCACTTCAACCAACCCAGCAAAAATACATTTGCTGAATAAGCACCACCCAGGAAAGGTTGGGTTGTTGCTGTTGTTACTTTGCGCTAAAGTCACCTTGAAAGAAGGCAGGCTTGGTTCCTTGGTAGTCCGTCCCACCCATAGGATTCATCCCTCACTTTTGCTTAGTGTGCCATGCGCTCCTGCAAATTTTACTTCCCTGCTGAGCAGGATTGGTTACCTGAATTATTTAAAGTTCTAATAGCAGTACTGTCACTAGCCATTTAAAAAATGATTTCATTTATTGTTAGTTAGTAGGATATAGTAAATAATGTTACTCAAGCACTTAGAATACAATTAAGTGCATCTACAGGCAGTTTTTCAGGCACTCTACCGCTGTGACACCCCAGCAAGGAGGTGCCACTGTTTGCAGTGCATTCCATGACTGTTTAATGCAGCTTAAATGCAAGGCTGGCAACTTGTCATGAGACAAGTGAGAAACGAATTGGGCTGCATTTGTCATTCATTTTGCCTCCACAAAAACAAAGGGTACTTTGGAACTGGTTGCAAAGTATGTAAGTGTAGCCTTGGGTGTAGACTCATTTGCTGTGGAACTCTGAGAATCTGCTCTTTTATTTTTTATTTCTTTTACACAGTTTTACTGAAGTCCTCATGTTGTTATTTTTAAAAAACCTTGCATGTGGAGCATTTTTGCTAAATATGGATGCTGCTTCCGTTAGGGCAGCAACAGGTGCATCCTTCATTTGATATGATTCTTAGCTTCTCGTTTTGAGTAGGAAGCCATTTGTGGCTTATGTGTTGCTCCTTCCTAAGGGAAACTGTTACCAGTGCGCATGCAAAAGAAACATGCATGTCCCTTAAAACAGCCCTTGCACCAGTCCACCAAAGTACTTTCTAAGCCGAGAATTTAGGATGCAGTTTAGGAGTTCTGGTGGGCCACCCATAGAAACCCTCCAAAAATTGGGGTAGCAGTGTGGGTGTTGTGCTCTTGTCTGACCCTCTGGGATTGTAGCCTAAGTGCAGGAGCAGATAAACTCCATGTGAAATGTACATGTAGAGACTTGGTAAGTACTGTATGTAAAACAGAAGAATAACAGAGAATAGGGTGTGATATAAACCAGATTGTTACCTTTGAAGGGGGTGGGGTTAGAAGTTGCAATAAACACACATAATTCTACAATGACATGATATGATATGGAATCTATTCATTTTCCCCTCCACTCTTGTAAAAGCTTGCTGGGGACATTTGCCAAAAACCAAAGACTAGAGCTAGTGAAAGCACACTACATTCCTCAGGTACTGATTCATACAATGCTTTTAGGGGGCTTGCTTCATAGTGGCATGTATAATAATAATAATATATATATATATATATATATATATATATATATATATATATACACACACACACACACACCCTGCCCATCTGGCTGGGTTTTCCCAGCCACTCTGGGCGGCTCCCAACAGAAAATTAAAAGCACAATAAAATGACAAACATTAAAAACTTCCCTAAACAGGGCTGCCTTCATATGTCTTCTAAAAGTCAGATAGTTGTTTATTTCCTTGACATCTGATGGGAGGGCGTTCCACAGGGTGAGTGCCACTACCGAGAAGATTTTTATTTTGCTTAGCCTGCTTTGAATTAACAAGTTGTGACTGCTCATGCGCACAGGTTTGCCACTCACTTAGTGTAACATTTTGCACAGAATTGTGTCTAGACAATCTGGGCATGTGGTAAACTGGTCTGCAAAACCAGTCAATTAATACATAGGTTTTTCTCCAAAAAGGGTTTTTCATGGCTTAATCTAAGCCATATTTCATTAGGGTTCAGTTCCAGAAAACATGTTTTTGGAGCCAGGGTTCAGCCGTGGAGCAAATATAGTCATTATAACATGGAAAACAGTGACTCTGAGCATGTGCTCTCTACACATTTGGGAGTATGGTCCTGGCTTTCAGGCAGCTTGATGCCTGGCATCTCTGTATTTAGAAGGTAAACACTGGGGTGGTCTTCATGGTTTTGGAATGAAGAAGAATGAAGAATAAAGAATGCTTGATTCGTTATCCCCACATTAATCACCAGTTCTGGTGCAGTATCTTGTTTGATTTTTACCTGTATGCCTTACACAGAAACATCTGCCTCTCTTTCACACACATACATTATTTGACTTAAGCAGCTGTGGCCTCTTGAACATCCCACTCCAAAAAATTCCATCTCACCTATTTTCACACAGCTCTTCACCTTTCTAGATTGGCAGAGACCCTGTAGGCTGGTGAGTGGCTTCCTTTACTCCTACTCACTTTTGCTAGTGACTGGCTGCTCGCTAAGTTATTTCTCCTTTTTTGTGCTTCTATCAAAATCCATTGGTGAGTTTCTTCAACAGCAGCAGCAGTGGGCAATCAAGAATCCCCGAGAGCTTTGAGGATTGCTAGCAGATTTTTTAAATGCAAGCTAAATCTAATTGCCCTTAGCAGCAAAACTCACTAATGTTTTAAACAATATTCAATGTTTAATTTGTTACCAATACCATTAGCAAGGCATTTACATGCTGTTTGGATTTTCATTTCTGTTACCAAATATTATCTACTAATTATACAAGCAGAGTTTCTGCTGCTAAGCAGCTATATCTGCTGCCTAAACACCCATCTACAATCCATTTACACCACAGAGGAGACCTGTTGAAGTCAACAAATGAGTTGGAAACCGGGGGGGGGGGGCTCATAGGTGGTGGTGAGGAGCTCATAGGTGGGGGGGGTGGGTTCATAGGTGGTACAGACCTGAACCCAGGGCATTTTAACCCCTGACTGAAACAAGGCCCTCAAGCGATGCCTGATGGATCAGACAGCTGTTCCATCCAGACCAGCACTGTTCCCTGCTGTGGCCAACAAGATACCTCTGGGAAGCCCCAAAGCAGTTGTCCTTGTGTTCTGCTTGTGAGCTTCCCAGTACCATCTAGTTGGCCACTCTAGGAAGCAGGATGTTGGATTAGATGGACTGTTACTCTGATCCAGCAGGGCTCTTCTTAAGAATTTATATCAAGCGTTTATGTCAAGATAAACCACCCATTTGTTGTGGTCTACATGTATGTCAGTCCTATAGCTTTTGTTCCCAGGAAAGCAGCAAAAGCAGGAAATTTAATGAGCCTCCCTGGTAGGTTGTCATGTATGGCTGGGGAGTCATGTTTTCTTTGACAGGCTAATAGTTGTCCAGGCCTGGCTTAGTCCTATAAATTCCTTTCAGTGCCTTGGAACAAGTGGAGTAATAAGAAAAAATATTTGAATATGTACCTTTTTGCTATCCCTAATTATGGAGCAACCACAACCAGGGACCATGCAGCTAAGATTCAAAACCAAACTAATTGTTCAGAATTACCATATGATATGTTTCTTCCTAGCCTGTACCACTTCAAATTGTGGGTTGGCAATTACATGCTTGAATGCTCCAACATTATTGTTTTTTAAAACCCTTTCACATAGAAAATAAATGCATAAGGCAAAAGCCTGGCCTGGAATTCTTTTCCTTGGTGTGCCATCCTTCTCCATGTGTGGAATTTTTGTTATGGGGAAACAGCCAAACTTGCCGTTCCTCTTCCCCTTTCCTCTCTCTACATTCTGAAATGGCACAGTCCAAGAGGTGCTGTCAAAAGTAGTACAGTCCATGCTAGATGAACTTTTGTAGGAAGGTCTTGCAGGTCAGAGGGTGTGACTTCTAAGCAGGTTTAAGCCTTTGCACACTTAATGAATAAATGCATGATTATACAATAAAAGGATGAAAACCCCCCATTATGTTTAACACAATGAAGATTTGATCTGGTAGATGCCATGTTCCTAAATTACTAGCATTTTGAGGTTTCTATGTTGATATTGAACTACCATATTTACTTGAATCCAATGCTCACCTTTCTTGGCCAAATTACATTGCAAAAATTAAGGTGCACATTAGATTTGATGGAACATTTACATTCACCAGCAAATACTTTTTTTGTTGTTTCAAGGTTCTGAAAATTGAGGTGTGCATTAGATTCAATGGCGCATTAGACTTGAGTAAATACGGTAATTGCTATATGGATTAAACAATGAGAAAGTGGCAGAAAAGAGTGTGTCCAAAGAGTGTGCTAAAATCTTTTTAGCACAATTAGCCAAGTCTCTAGGTTTTTGGATGTGATATTTGCCATGAAGCCAGCTAAGAGTTTGAAAGGAGCGTTATAGAACAGGTAACAAGGACAGCTCAGGCAGGTTAGCATAAACTTTGATCCAGTGCAGGTTTGGCAAAATGACTTATTTTATGGTCGTGATGCCTCCAAACATAATAAACATGTTCATCTTATGCTGCAATTATTTTACTTTCTCTCTCTTCAGAAGCTGAGCCATACTAAGTTGATAGGCAATTTTTCTGCCATTTCCAGTGCTAAGGAGAATACACTCTTTGCAGTGCAATAGAAGTGAAAATTCCCAATTGGGATTGGTTTGATATGGTTAGCTTCATTCCTCTAATCTTACCTTAAATTCTATCACACGCTGGGTTAGTTGAGTGATAATGGCCATTCATGCCGGACATTGTCCGTAAGCACAACCCATGCTTACAAAACATTTTTTTTTTTGTTCACTGTTCCCCATGTCATGCTGGTGTTTAGACAGCTGAAGTTTCCTTGTTTTTGAGGATTCATAGTCTTCTGTTTCATGGGCGCAACATTCTGTGAGCCAAAAGATGAACCCAAAGTATCTATATTACTGCTTAAGATTTTAGAAACCTTTAAGTGGTGCCAAAGGTACTATATATTTTAATGAAGGTACTGGATGCACAGTAGGTAAATGCCAAAAAAAGGTTAGGTAGATGTCAAAGGTGCTGCTAGACAAACACCAAACAAATGTAGCTTGGATAAGACTTCAAGATAGGACCTGTTTTGTTCAGATCAATATATGAAACCTCCCACTCCTGAGCTTTTTGGCCTTTCCTGCCTGACAGTTTCCTAGTCTCCAGTGTTCCCTCCCTTTCATTTTTTAACCTGCCAACAGCATGATGTTTTGCCTGTCTCTAAATCCTGGGTGCAGTTTTCTCCTTTGTTCGTTTCCTTTCCCTTTGTATCTCCTCTGCCTCTTACCTGCATTAGTCTCTGTGTGTGCCTCCCCTGACCCCTTTCTCTCCCATTCTTGCTCGTCTGCCCACTGCCTGCTTTGTCTCCCTCATCCTTCAGCCACTGTACTTTAGGGCTCTCTTAACTCCCCAAATCTCAGCCTCCCTGCCTGCCCAACAAATACCGCATGCTTTTCCTTTCCTGTCAACAGCATGTGTTCATTTGTTTTTGTTTTTCTTACCAGATTGTACCCAAAGTTGCTTGCATTATAGCAAATGAATAATAGTAAATACAAGAATCCAAAACATAATGGGTGGTGTCTGCGCATAATGCTAAGCCAAACTATGGCTCCTCTCCCAGTCCTCTTGCTACTGTGAGCAAAGTTATGGTTTGGCTTAGTGTGCTGAATGGACACGAGCACATGCCACAAATTCAAGAGCAAACCTTGGTGGCAGCTCCTGGTTTGTCTGGAGTGAGACAAGCCCTGAGCCCGGGCTCAGATAACATGCTAAGCCAAACCATAGCTGAGTTCACAGCACAGCAGCAGGGGGACCCGGCAAAGAGCACAGGAACCACAACTTTCTTTGAGCGCATAGCTCAAAGATAAGCCATGCAGTGGAAGGGCATTCTGCACAGCACCATCGGAGAAAGTGACTAGCCATTGGGTGGGGCTCTACAAAGCTGGAAGCGCCAGCACCTCAACTCTCATCCATCCCACTTTGCTGACAAACTCCGCTTCAGTGAAGCAGGTGGTGGCTGTCCTGCCCCAGGGGCCTGAGTTGATACCGGCTCCAGTTGCTTTGGCAGCCGACAGCCCCTGGGAGTCCCCCTTCCAACCTCCCTTGCCTGTTGCATCAGCCTTTCAAGGGAGAGCAGGTGGCAGGAGCTAACGAAGTGGGAAATGGGGGGCAGTGCTTCTTAGCTCTACCTCTGGACCTAAGCAAGGGTGAGAGGCTAACAATTCTGCAACTGGCTGTTGAGAGGACTGTCTGATTAATCTGCCAGTTGTGATCTGGGTCAGTATGCTAAGAGAACATAAAAATAACCACCACATAGGGATTTCTGATTATGCAGGGGCCAGGTTATAATATTATCTCCCCGCCCCCCCCGCCACACACCCAAGGATTGACTCGCAGTGGTGGGCAAGTGCAAGTTTTCTTCCAAGATGGGGTGTTACTGGGCACCATTACCTGGTGCCGGGGGGGGGGGAGTGGCAGAACCACGTCTCACTGCTGCAAGACCGCATCCAGGTCTGAAGGTCTGTAAATCCTCAGTGATTATATGGGAGTTGTCACCTTGGGCGCTTGCACAAAAATGTATTTGATGTCGCCTTTGGACAAACAGAGGAATATGGTTCGCACTCACATTGGTGTCTGCAGACACTCATAAGGTTATGGACATGTACGAAAACTGCAGGTTGTGAGTTTAGTTTGAATTTGAGGAGCCACGATTGCACATAAATAAGTCTGTCGGGTTAAAAGTCCCTAGGTTAAAAGAGTACTATAAAAAATAATACAATATACTGTAATAAAAAATATAAAGCTACTGATATATACTGATACTGTAATATAATACAGTATCACAACAATCAAATGTTGGTGACAGTCTCTGGCCGCATAACCAGAGCTAACACAGGCACAGAGCTGTGTCTGACATCCAGCAAGTCTTCTGCGGACAAATCCTGGAATGGGGTTAGTAAAGGGCTTCCTGTCACTGTATTTGGATTATCCGACTAGTAGTTGTGCCTGCTCACTGCTTGCATCAGCTTCATACCTGAGATTATAATCTGCATCCCAAACAAAATAGTGGTGCAGCAGTTTTTCAAAGATTCTAGGAAGTATTTGCAATACAGTACTAAGTATCAATCAGTGCCACCTAGTGGTTTCCTTTAAAACTGCAGTTTGTGTCAGTAGCTTAACAACCTGCCCTTCTTTCTTCTCTTTCAGGTGCAATAATCGGACACAGTGTGTCGTAGTGGCTGGCTCAGATGCTTTTCCAGACCCTTGCCCTGGCACCTACAAGTACCTGGAGGTCCAGTATGACTGTGTCCCCTACAGTGAGTCCATTTCTCATTGAACTCTGATGCTTCATCTTATTTCAGTTATTGCTCCAAATAAGATTCCCACCTGACCCAGGAAGGAGAGAGACTCCACAGACTGGCCCCCTAATACACACCCAGACATGGGAATAGGATGCACTTAGAGGAGACACCACCTAGACCAAAAACTAACAGAGAACCCTGACATTTTTGTCTCTTGTGCTGGAGAGGGGTTTCCAATGGCTAGAGTAGAAGTGGACTAAAATGCCAGGGTTCTGAGAAAAGAATTAATTCAAGTGGTTTGGGCCTTGATAACTGGGCAGAATGATTCCTGGTTTGTAGTTCTGTCTCTAACTTGCCATGTTTGGCTGATCATTGCCTTAGTTTCTCTTTCTTTTCTTTCTGTACCTGAGCCCTAAGGAAAGAGGACCCCAAAAAGGCACAAGCTGGACCAGCCACAACCTTCCTCCATTTCAGCACCTGATGCTGATTTTAGCCAGGGTAGCTGCACCAGTAACAGGACTATTTCAGCATCTCTCCTCAACAACAACCAAAATCCTTGAAATTTTGAGCAATACAAAACCTCCACAGTAGCACAGACCCTCAGGAGAGACACTATCACTGTGTGTTTGAACCCCCACATGATGGTGTATGCAAGGTGTCAGTGCTTGAAATACATGCTATTTGTGTGCACTGTGTGTTTGCTTGTTTGTGATTGATGAGGATATGTGTGATTCTATAGCATTTGGCTCATCCTTAGTAAATGTACATACTCGGTGCATCAAATGTGGACAATAGACATGTATATTAGTACTTAACATGTCCTGGGTATATATGCATTGCGTCTGTGCATATATGGTCTGTATATCCATATGAATGGCACAGTGTATTTGTATGCACACTCAGATGTATGACTATCTTCATGCTTGTGTGCAGTGCATATGCACAAACTTGTGTGTGTATACACATGCATGTTTCAGTGCCCTGAAATGTGCTTTGGGGTGGTTCTGTGAGCCTTTGCATCAGGCAGTTGGTAGCAGAGTTGATATCTCTTCCCAGCAAAAAGCACAGCATTCTAAAAGCTGTGGCTATTATTACAGGGCTAGGGCAACAATTCATGTTTCGAATGTTTGTGGGTAGGTCTTGTATGTAGACTGGTATGATTGATTTTGTGTGTGTGTGTGTGTGTGTGTGTGTGTGTGTGTGTGTACACCTCGGTTATAGAAGTATCTTTATGAATGCTCACATGGTATGGATGAATTCATGAGCACAGGGATATAGATGGCTCTGTCCTTAAGTGCGTGCATGTTTTTTGAGTGTGGGCATGTGCGTTCTGAATGTGCTTGTGCCACAATTCCCATGTTTTTAAGCACAAACCCATCTGCATCCATACCAAGGCACCTGAAATGGAGTTTAGCACCAGCGTTATTCCTTGGAAAGAAGGAAAATGGCATGTGGTGGGAGATAATCCTAAGAAAACTTCTCCGAAGAAAGCAGTTGATATGCAATTATTTTTCTCAAAACAATATGTGAATTTGTTTGTTCAAGTCTTCGGTTCATAAACTGAATGCAGCACTGAATTTGATTTTTCTGGCTTCTGAGATGAACACTAGGAGTTGGTCACTACAGAGTACAAGTAGCAGGAAAATTGTTAACGTGATGAAGGCCCTTTATCTCCTGGAGCCAATCTGCTTCATTCCTGTTGATGGAACAAGCCTGGTGCTATGGCTGCCACTCCCTAATCTGGTTCCGTATGTTAGCAAACTGCCATGTTAGGGGGGTTGCAAAGGTGTCTGTTATTTACAATTACAGCCCTTATTCGAAAAGATTACTCCCCATTTCCAAACAGCCCCACAAATCATAACTGAAATCCCTTATTGATGGCACCACTTAGCAATAGTATTTTGATCTGGCAAGCCTAAATGCAATCTACTGAAGGGCTAGGTTTGTGGTGTCTCTCCTCCCTGGGTCAGCAGCTCATATGCCCTCCTCCTTTCCTTCTCTTGTGTTGCTTGGAGTGTTTGGGAAATTTGTTCCTTGCCTTTGGTGTCTTGCACACTCTCCGCTGGGTCTAGGATCCATGTGGGTGGGTCAGCCTCACAGGGTGTGTCCCCTTCCCCTCTCCGCTAATGCCCCTTTGGTTTCTCCTCACAGACGAAATGGAGCAGAGCAGGGCAGGCGTGGCCTCTTAACCTTTTAACCTTCATTCCTGCCCCTTTTCCTTCTAGCTACCAGGTGGCTTCGAAACAAATCAACACTCATCTCAGGGTGCAACCAGTCCTGACCCCTCACAGTTTAACAGCACTGGGGATACCCCAAAACAGCAAAGGGCACTAAAAGGCTGACCAGGATATCACCTGCATCGTGAAAGTGTCTGGGGGGAGGGGGAGGCAGGGATGGCATGGAGGATGTTGGGATCAGCTATTAGGGCAAATGGCCAGGAAGTGTAACTGACTATGGCAGAGCTGTTGACACTGAGGGTTCCCCTCTCAGTACAGGTTGCATATCAGCACATTGGCAAGCTCATTATTACGTTCCCATAGACATACACATGCACCTGCCGATCCCCAGAACCATGTGAAAAGCTATGGACTTCCATGTCTGCATGTTTGACTAGTTTTGCAGGTGAGCATCCTCCTGCACCTGCGCATTGTCCCTCTTCCTCTCTCACACAATTATATATACATGTGTGGATGTATGTGTGCATGTACATATATTACTCACATGCACATATATATGGTTGCAGTCAAACATAGGTGAACAAAACACCGCTCATGCAATGTGGCTTTCTTGGCACTCTCTCCCCCCCCCCCCCGCCCCATCTCTTGAAAAGCTTCTCCTGAGGACTGAGGGACCTTCTGGAAGGGTACATGATGGAGTATTGTTGTAGATGGGGAAATTAGAAGAATTTAACAGGGCTGCCTTGCACAAGCAGAAATGCCTTTTCTGTTCTCAACAAGGCATCTCTAGATCCAAGCCGGGAGGACATTTGTATACATTGCCAGATATGTAAGCAGAGTTTGTGCTTGCTTGCATACTCTGTATTAACATACCCAGCTATATTTGTTCATATATATGCAGTCATACATGTAAACCCTCTTTCCCGGACTCATAAGAACTTTCATTGGTCACATCCTGCCATTCACCCATGGTTTCATAAGCCATAGTTTGTGAATCTATGGATGGGTGCTATGGTCACTCACTCCTACCCTACCCTTGTCTCTTCAAGTAATGGCTTTGGTGTGGGAATCCTGGCTTGCATTAAGCCGTAATTCCCGGTTATGTCCAATACAGGGAACTCTGGTTTAATGTTCAGTAAACAACTAGGCTAATAAGCCAGGATGGAGAAGTGCTTGTCCACAGTGAAGAAGGAGGACACATTCACAGTGCTTGTGTGCAGCTTTGTAAACCATGAAACTGTGGACAAATGTCTGAGCAAAGCCATTATGTCTTCACTTAAAATCCAGGATCATTTTCACTATTCATTATATGCATAGCTGAGATAAGAATGCTTTTCTGTCAGTGTGATAGGATAGTTAAGCCCACAGTGTGCTCCTATATCCTTTTGATTCAAATCTACTAAGGCTACATTCTCTTCCCAGCTTATTTGCATAGCTTCTTTCTTCTCCAGAAGAGACAGAAACCTTCTTTCTAGCTTTACCACACATTAAGAAATACATTATTTCCTCAACACTAGTAAATATTTGACATCAGTCTTAGTTACATCCAATGCTCTCCCTGCTCCTCGAGTCAGGACTCCTGGGTTTCAGTATGCAGGTGAAATGGAGCCAGAAGCAGGAAACAGTTAGCCCATTCTCAGATTGGCAGTGGCTGAACTGAGGAGGAATTTTCAGCAGTTCTCACCTTTAATTAGCACAGACGTGTTCCCAACTCACATCAGATAGGAGAAAGCATCACCCATCCTGGATGTATCCTGCTTTAATGCTGAACCAGGGTGGCAGTCATGATAACCATGGTTGGACCTCTTTCATTGAAAAGTATCACGGCTGGGCATTTCATCCACAATGGTTTGTGCTGGATATGTAGCAGAACCTGAACTCAGCTCTTGCTACAATCATACCTCACTCTGCCTCTGTGTTTCTGCTGCTCCCTGTTGGCTGCCCTACCATGCTTCTTTAAGCAGGAGAGTGGTTTGATCCAGTGCTGTTGTCCTTGGGGGTCAGGGCTGGAGCAGGTGATGGAAGGGGAAAGCACAGGAAGCTGGAGACCCATGGGGAGAGGGGTGGATCACAGAGGGATGACAGAGGTGGGAGGGGCCTATGTTGCCAGACCCTTTTGCTTCCTTCCTTTGCAGCTGCCTCCACTCTAACCAGACACTGATCTTCCTTCCTCAGGGTCCAATCTGACATGTGGAAAAACAAAACAATTCATTTAATGTGTCTGATTTTTGGTTTTGGATTTTTTAAAGTGAATTGTTATTATTGTGTCAATATTTTTCAAAACGCAACCTCCCTCTCCCCTCTCTTCTGCCAGCTCCTTTCCCCAGCTTTCCCTTCTCTTCTTTCACTCTGTTTTCTGCTGCTTGCTCTCTTTGCTTTTTCTTAGGCCAGGGTTGTTCTTGTTACCAGGGGTATCACTACTCACACTGGGAAATGGTTGCTTTTAGTGCCTGGATTCTCTCCTAAGAGTGAGTGGAGTTTAATGGCCTTTGCCAGGCAAACACTTCTGGAAATCAGGCAAAGTAGTGGGGACATAGGCAGACCAGTCACTTGATGAATCTGAGTGTAGGTGCTTGAATGGAAACTCCAAAATACAAACAGATATGTGGGGGCCAAGTCTTAGCCAGTCCCCCAAGCCTGACTGCAGCCTAAATGGATCTTCCTAACTGTATCCATGCTGTGCAGATTTAGTTTGTACAGATTTAGAAAAGGCCCACACTGTCAGCACTTATACACTACGAGGTTGGAAACAAGACAGATCATTTTTAGGGTGAAGCTAAGATATAATTTTTAAAGAGAAATCATAGGAGGTTCTTTATCCTTGAGGTGAGCATGGGT